TCCGTGTTTGTACCCAGCGCGAGCGAACGGGCTCATCTGCCAAAAGTGGTAGTGGCCAATCATATTGCCGGACTTGTTTTTTACATCGTTCGTACCTGCATTATAATGAACGAGTCTACAAACCTGACTACTTTGATTGGTACAAATTCCGTGTACATTATGCGAGAACATGTCGTTCAACTACATATCACCGATGGGGTGTCCGATTGGCTTACCATCAAGTCGGACTTACTGACTGGTGACGTATGACACACGTTGTACAAAAAAGGCTATCAAATGAGGGCGTCATATAAGGGTTATGCGAGTTGCGCAAGGCTGGCGGACGGAGCGCGGGTTCGTACCGGCTGAAGGGATGGCTGACTTGAGAAGAGCAACGTAAGTCCGACTTGATTAAAGTCTAGGCTTATCACCTCGCCCGCGTTCCCACAGGGGAGGCTCGGTATCGAGGAAAATCGCGCCCTCTCTTGGTCCAGCTTGGGGCCCACAGGCCAACCGTAGAAAAGGGTCAAATAAATCCTCCGTCGAAAGTTCAGCTGCATCTTGTGACATGGACGTAAATCGGGCGACCCACCTCCCACCCGTGGATAGTATACATTATTTTGAGTTTGATGAGTCACTTCACTTTGACTAGATAGAGTCGGACTCTTTGGCCAGACTAGAGTCGGACTGGAGTAGCTATTTTTGTGACTTAACTTGTAACTGTAGGTTTTTCGACTTGCAACTTCACTTGGACTTGCAAAAAATGACTTGTGACTTGACTTGAACTTGCACATTGTGACTTGTTACCAGTGCAAATCAGAAAACTATATCGAACCCATTGCAGTTTTAAATTAGGCCTATCAGCTTAGGCCCTAAGGCCTTGCGTTCTTAAAATAATCATCGTAGAACTTCGTTCAGCTTGCGACTTTTACTTCGGTCTTGTCTGTCCAATGCCACGTCTGATTCTCTTTTTATTGTTTCCCCAACTTCGAAATTCAAGCTTCGTTTGAGCCTTATATTAAATTCTTCATATCAGTTCAAGATAATCGTCCCGATCTCGAAGGCCGACGTTTAGGTGGTTGTAACATGCATTCAAGTCACGCTAACAGGTTATTTTTAAAACAACTGCCCATATAATCAGATATTTATCGAGGATTCGTCCTCTTTGAAATTACCAGTTTAGGGAGAAAGGGACCAGATTCGCGGTATAAAGCGAGCGGAGACATCATACATGATCGTGACCGTGTGCGACAATGCACGACACGGCAAAAATTGAAACTGGCTCAAATATTTCGGTAATGCGCTCATCGCAACTCGGCCTCTGCCATGCCGCAGTATAGAAGGATATTTGTGAGTGCTTAAATCAGTCAAAGCGTCTTTTAAAAATGTTGAACATGATGTTGACTGATGTTTCAGTTCAAAAACGTCGTTGTGAACGTGAAGCCTGTTGACATGAAGGTTGAAGGTTATTTGCATAACTCCGGCCGATCATCACTCAAGTAATAATTATGCATATCCTACCATTCATACTAAAGTCTGTTACCGCCCCAGGTCAAACAAAAATATCCAAACCTTCCTGCATGGTTCGTGACGCGTGTCGCGGCAGATCGCGGAATAACCGTTTGGAAGGTTTTCAGTTTGAACCAAGACTAGGCTATCGTTTGAAATCAAAGCGCAACTTGTACAAAAGGACTTGTGATCGACTGAATTGCTTGCAAGCATGTGCTGGACCAAATTCACGTGACTGGCGAATAAAATTTTCTATACTCATCGGCATCATCACCACTCAGGGTGCCGAAATCCCCGGCCCGGTGAGCGTTAAGAAGAGGACGAATGGCATAACGTCAAAGGTGTGATATTAAACAAGTCAACTTTTGCAAGTCCAAGTCAAGTCACAAGTCATTTCGTCCACTCAAAAGTCATATAGTGCTTGCAGCAAATTTGAGTATTGTGCTGACAGTGAAAGGAGTTATTTATGCTCATGATCCGGGTAATATTTTGTAATTAAAAGTTAAGATTATTTTGTAATATTGAAGTCCTTAATCTGATAAATCAAGACTTTTAAAGTACGTGTACTACGGACGATCATGATCGTTATCATCATCTATACATGTAGAAAATGTATACCAGTCTTTTAGCGATAACTTCGACAAGTAAAAGATGATTTTCACCCCGAAGCAGTCAGTTGCCAGTGATTGCATTGACGGCATTGGTACGATCCCCGGGACGTCACTTTTGATTTGTTTTGTTTCGTGAGTTTTCTTTTCCTTTTTTTTATTGACACTCCTTGGTGTGTTGCAAACTATCAGTCAAGTTACAAAATAAGTCGGGGGATTATTTTTTTGTCCCCAACAACAATTTTGACCGTTGCGACCTCCGCAGCCTGAGAGAAAAACAAATCGATCTATTTTGGTTAGCCCGGGTTGTTTTTCAAGAAGTCCTCTGTCGTTTTTGTAAGGGTTAATTGTGGCGTGTTTACACCTATAAATACCACTGGTATGGTAACTACACAATGCGAGGGAATTCCTTAACGCGCGTTACTTGCGTAATTGTTGACGTCATCGGGAATTCCTGTCGGTGCCTACGCATGCGTCAATGGCGTGACCCATGACATCAATCAATGAACTTTGTGCTTCGACGATGATCGTTGGTCTTGACTTGTCGGACAATAACATAACAATGTCAAAAGCTGTGATTTCTCTCCTCGTAAACAACCCTGGATTAATAATATTTTGACTGAAGTGCCAAGGGCAGTCGATATATAAGTCCAGTAGACCTCAGAGGTCGATTTTGGAAAGTATGAAATCGGAAGACGACGAGGCAGGGTGGCGACAACCGTCGGAAAACGACAACAAACCCTCGGCGGATGACATCAACATGGCGGCGGCCGTAGCTTCGTTGCAAAGGGAGCACTTGGAGTACCGCAATACGAGTAACAAGAGCGAGGGTGGTGGGCAGTCTGCAGGCCTCTCGGCGGGGTCGAGGCGGCAGTCAACGGGCGACATCCCTTATGAGGACCTGCCCAGGGCGCTTATCGCCACAAACATCCCAGAGGTTGTTTTCACTGATGCAGCAAAGAAGGTAGGCCGTGCATGCATATATGGAGGCCCAGGCCACTGCAGGCGTGAGTGGTGACCTCCGTGGTAAGACATCGGAAGTGTGGGGTGCAAGCATTGATAAACTGCGCCTGCAATAATCTTTGGATTAAGCATAAGTAGTGGAGCTTTCAAAGTTAGCGTTCAGAGTACCATGTTTCCCGATGATTACCTATGTAGAAGCATGATATAGGCCTACGTGATTGAGCATGTTGACTATGCTTAACTTTAAAGCATGGAGGAATAAAACATAGGCCTACCATGCCAGAAGTACTGTTGTCGTTATTTATGTCATGTATGTGTGAAATGTTGGGAAAGACTAGTTCCATATAGTTCCATACAGATGCTGCTGTTTTCTAACTTGAAACAATTTGGTATAGGTTATTTCCAGGCTAAATTGAACTTTCGTGGACACGTTTTTGCTTTCTGACAGCTATTAGGTCACCATATGGAACTCTGTCCAAGTGTTGTAGAGGAGTATACTGTAAAGATTATGAAATCAAGATATTTACAAAATTAATGTTCAGTAATCAGTTCATGGACATGATGGGCAGTGTGAAAATACAGTGCAGATAATGTGTTGGCCAATTATTAATTCCCATGTTAATCCCCAATGACAGCATTTTCAAGTCCTAGTGTTAACGATCAGATTGACATGATCAATCTGATTAAAGTGCAGCTGCAATGAATTTTTCTTCGACACAATTTTTCTACTTTTCTTCAGTGTATGAAAACTCTTACACCCTCCTATTTGGTTTGTATGCCTTGAAAAGTGCACACTTTCAAACAATCAAAATTATCCATGTTTTCCTGGACAACTGAGGGCGCTGTTGCTGTGAAGCCATCTGGGGAAGACAAGGTTCAGTGCATAGGTATTTCTGTACAAACTGTGAACTCAGAATTTACCTAATGAAAACGCTTCTGAGAGAGGGATTGTTGGTTTCTTATTGCTATGCACATGAGCAACAATGAATCAGCAAAGAAGAGAAAACTTAGTCCAGGAAAACCTACAAAAACGCAGGATTTTTGTGCACAAACCAGTGTAACATTGAGGCTTCTTCCTGAGATGGCATCACAGTTTTGGTCATGAATACAGAAATACTCACCAGCATCAAAACCAAAAAGGCATTAAAATACCCTTTGAAATAGTGAAACCAAAGTTGAAAATAAGGTTTATTGAGGCACAAAGGTACATTTTACAGGTTTGTTATAAAAAAATTGATTGCAGCTACCCATTAAAATCAATTTGTACAAGGATTATCAGTGGTATCCAATTATACAAATCAGGCAGTGTTCATTACCATAGTACACACGTCATTTTGATATTTTGGCGCCCGGGGGTTATTTCTCATATTGATGTGTTGATTTCTCATTGACTGCATATCGTTTGTTTCTTATGGGGAAAATTTAAGGACCAATAAAATATCAATTCTGTTCCCTCTAGCATCTGAAAACAAGGTTGATAGTTGGGTAGTTCGGAATAGCAACGTTCTTTCTCTAAAGAAAATGGCTTCATCTATGATCTCAGTGCTAATGCTAGTCTCTCTGGATGCATAATAATAAAATAAATGCCGATATGCTTTTTGAATATTCACATCTCTAGAATTCAGTGTACCTGCAAGCGTACATGCTGTTGTTATCGTTCTTACTTTGCAGAAAGCTTTTGAGGACCTGTTCTGTGCTTTTGGAGAGAACGTCCACTTTGTCTACCTGCCCAGTTTTCGGCGAGTGCGAGTGGGCTACGAGAATCCCGAGCAGGTTGTACGGGCCCGAATCGGAATGCATCAACGAGAGATATGCGGGCAGCCCATCAAGTTGTTCTTTCTACAGGTATAAAATAATGTCCTGTGCACAAATGGAAAAATCGGACAATTGAAATAGTGGTTAACGCACGCTCATTGACTTTGTAAGCTCGTGGCATTACAAGTTATTGGTGAAAATATCAGAAGTGTGAAACAGTGTTATATTTCAGTCCATCACAAGTCCCTGCAAGTCCATCACAAGTCCATCGCAAGTCATTCAGTCTTAAGCCAATTCACAAGCTTTTCACATGAGTTATGACAAAAGCATTCTTTGGTCATTTGTTCACCCTGTTATTTATGACTGGCCTTGTTAAGGGACTTGTGACTGGACTTGTGACTCGATTTGTGATGGACTTGAATACATGTACAACTCTGGTATGAAACTGTGAATGCTGCACAGAGATATGAAATTAATAAAGTCCCCCGACCCACGTCATGGAGAAACTTTGATGCCATCCTGTAAGTGGCGTTTTGAATTGATGCGCACGTTTTTTTTTGGGGGGGGTACATAAAGAAAGGAGACGGAACAAATTCTACACGTATATGCAGCTTCCAAGTATGGCATACGCAAATAACATATGTGCATTTTTCTATCGTATAATGCCTTCAAAGACCAAACCGTGTAGTCTCAACAGGTGCAGGGTTCATAAGCTGGTGACTGTTTCCTCCCGACAGCCAGTGAAATTCAACAACAGTAGCTCGACGCTGGAACTCCCGGAGCCCACGAAGCAGTATCTCCTCTCGCCGCCGGCGTCGCCCCCGGTGGGATGGGAACCAGTCAAGGAATCGGAGCCAGTCATAGACTATGATGTCCTGGCGGCGTTAGCAAACCTTGCGCCTGGTGAGTCTCCGGCTGCATGCCTCTCGGTTACCAGTGAAATTGAGAACACTTTGTATTCAGTTGCTCGCAGTATAGGTCTCTTGATGTTCTTGGTTGGAACACCGTGGAAGTTGATCTTCATATGGAATTTCATATTGATTTGAGAATTTCTTTTGCAAGGAAAATATAAATCAAATTGGGGACCCCTGCTGTGTATCCCAAGCATAATTGGCCCCAACAATAATAACTATTGTTCAACATGTGTGTTGACCCCAAAGCTACATCACGAGATCGCGAGAGTGCATTTGTGGTCAGTCGTCTTTATTATATACAAATTTTACCCCAGATGTGCCTTTAAAAAATGCGCATCTTGTGCGTCGTGGGCCAAATCGTGCACATATGGAAAGGCTTAGAATTCAGAATTCAGTCTAATGGCAGATTTTGGCAAGTTTTGCAGCAGACCTAACATGGCTGTGCGGAATGAAGCAAAAAGAAGCTAAGGATTCAATTCTGTCAAGCACAGATCTGACCATTTTCTTGTCAATAACTCTTCTCAGGACAAGTCCATGAACTGCACGCCCCTGACGACAACAAGCCCGGCATCTTCGTCCTCCCCTGCGAAGACCCGCCCCAGAAGGGACCCAAGATGAAAATTCAGCACACTAGGAGGCCGGAGCCCAGCTAGTCAGCCACCCTGCCCCCCAGCCTACTTGGCAATGTCAGGTTTTAATTGTTCGTTTCCGATAACACAGAACCCCCCCTTCCAGCACTGGATAACACCCCTTGCCCTCTTAGCTGACAACAAACTCATGAAGGCTCATCCGATTTTTGGCGTCATTTTTGGGAGCACACAAAACATGCTCTTTTCCCTCAACACCTGAGGGCCGATCACCATTGTTGAAAAAGCATACGCTGCCTGTTAACTTCGGCATACATTTTTGTACGCTTTGTAAAATGACAGGGAAAACATGGCTACGGATGTGCACTCGGATAAATTTGCCACACGCGTTGATAAACACATAAGAGGTAGAGATGAGGATTGTTTTAATGAATTATCTGGACAGAAAAAACTAAATCATTCTTTTTTTTTCCTGCCAAGAAAGTACCCCCTTTTGGCTGCGATGGCATCAGCTAAAATAGTGACATGCCTCCTGGAAATCTGGTCGAAAATGTGCAATACTTGTCTCCAAGCAGCAAATAATTTTGCTTCAAAGGGGTACTTCTTGTGAGTGGAGCTTCAGGAATATTTTTCTGATCGCAGTTCCTGTTAATTTACAAGAATACTTCTCTGTTTCAACTCCAACAGAGATGACGTTACAACTGCATGACCACAAGGGCTGGACTATCGCAAACAAAAATTGAGTTTGTAACCATGAAATTTTCATGCTGAGATGCAAATATCGGTGCGACTTTTACGTTGCTGAAGTCATCCTCTGAGAAATTGATTTCAGAGTAAAAAATCACATGGTTCCTAACACTACCAGACTAGAATTGTATTCTTTTCGCATCATGCCTCGTTAACACCCATCTCCATCCGTCCTTAGCCAACATACCTTTCATGGATTGCTTACCCTTTTTTTTTGTCTAATAATCACAACCTGAAATAAAAATGTGACCGAAAAATGTCTTGTTTAAATGCATCATGTAATTATTTGAAGTCATAAAGCAAAATGCGGAAGAGAAATCTTTGTTTTGGGGTTTTTTTTTCTAAATATTGGTGTTTATAAATTCACAGTGTTGTTATTATTTGGGGTCACTGTGGTCGTGTGTAGATTGAGGATTTTCTTCATCTTGAAATATTCTCATCTCATTCCCTCCAAGTCTGTGCCATATTTTAATCATCTACTCTCCAGTGTGTCTGTCGGCTGCCATATTATTTTTGATATTCATAATTTGTACAGTTTGGTTTGTCTGTGACTGTTGAACAGAGTTGCGTAACTAGAACTGGTGACAAATGTGCTTCAGAGTTTCAGTAATTTAGGTTTTACTGTCTTGTGAGAAAGCCATGTGTTGTACCTCAAGGGCTTGAAAACAAATCTGTGTACAGAAGGGATAAACATTTTGTTGTTATTTTCACTGCAAAGTTTTCATATCACAACCGAGATTTTGTGAGTTCTGGCACTGTATTCCATAGGCTGTGACGGAATTTATCATTTTTGAGAGGTACTATTTATTTTATCTAGGCATTACAATTAGTACTTAAATTCAGGATGTGAAGCAGCGTGATTTGAGATTTTGGTCTGACGATAAGTGTCAGAGATACTGTAGTGTATCTGTCAAAACAAAAGATGTGGGATGCTTTATTCACCCAAAAATGCCATTTCCATGGCATGAGGGCGTGAGTGAGTACGTTCATGGGCCCCCAGGGGACACTGTTGCTAGGTAGCAGAGCGCCCTCTTTATCCATGCTCATAGCCAATACACATACTTATAATGCTACTCAGCTGCCGTGTCACGTAAAACAAATACCCAGATGGTACTTCTGTTTACATGTAGATAATTCTCGCACGTTTTTAAACAAATTGAAAGACCAAATTGATAGTTGACTCACATTTACTGAATGTTTTTCTACATTGGTGTGATTTCTGTGCATTGGACATTTTCTTCATGGAAATGGGCACTTTTGTCTGTCCCTCAAAACATGTTATTGTTTACTTGTTCTCTCTTATCCTGTAAACCGAGACAGGGGCTCCACTTTTAAAAGGGTTATTTTGTACTTATTTTTATGATACAAAACAAAGTGTGGGTGAATTTTGTCCTATCACCTGATCACCAAACACAGGAGCACAGTGCTGTATACCATGGTTCATAAATGGTTTATGGCACATTGGACACACTTTCTTGCAGGGAGATGTTGATTTTAATGCGAGGTTGGGTTGACGTGTCAACTGACAACACGGCATAGCCACCCTGACCAGAAGAACCCCCTCAACGTCAGAGATGAGACGGGCTGGCAGGGAAAGATTTCTGCCTGGCACACAACGTGCACACAAAGCAATACATTTCAACAGAAAGTGGTTGCATGCGCACAGCATAGCCCCACACCAAAGGGATGTCGTTCCTGTGCCATCTCACTCCTGTGCGGAGCAGATATGGTGCTTTTGAATTAGGCCGATGGAGAACACAACTCCATCCAACCAGTTGTCAGTACACATCATTTCAGTGTGTTGGAAGGTTGATATTTTTTTGTGCTGATGAGATATTCGAGTATACAGAAACCTCATGGGATTTCACCCTTCACCTGAGCTTGCATGCCCATGGTTATTCACACGATATCGTGCAACCTGTATAAAAGTCATCATTCTGGTTCTGGGAATTTTTTTTTTTTTGGAAGCAGGAAACAACAAAAGTTTTGACCAGCCTCAACAGTCCAAGGTCATGACCATGCCTTTAAGCAGAAAATAATGCTAAGTGAAACTTATGTACACATGTAGTAAGCAAAAATCAGCTGGGTGGCATTGACCCTGGATGGCATTTTGGTTGGTCTCTTGTTTTCTTGCTAAGCATATTTTCTTTGCGCATGCTCAGCTCAGTGCGGAGCTTTACTGCAGAAAATACAGCTTGGCATATTTACACGCTAAGTTAAAAATTGACAACTGGACCGTAGCAGTGCAAATTTGGACATTTTGGCCGGTGGCCCTTGTTAGCTGGTAACCTTTTTGCGAAGTAAAGCTATCCTGTAATTTTTGCAGCCTAGAGATTTTGGCCTGAGATGTAAAAACTAGCAAATCACTCATCCACAGCCCCGTACCTTTTGACAAGAACAAGTCAATTTCCAAGCAGTATCTTTCTTCACGTGTGTGTATACTGTGGTAAAAGTAACTAAGAGGAAGACATCGTCATTGAGTTGCACAGCTCAGTAGAAATAATCATCAAACACTGCTGAAATAACCGTGTTGTTGATGGGAGCATCTGCATGAACAGTAATATGACATCACTGTTGCGTGAGTCTTGGCACCAGACCGTGTGTAGACAGCATTTTGAAGGGGGAGGGGGCTAAAAGGTCAGCACAGGGTCAAATAAAACACCTGCCAAGTCATATGGCCTGTAGTGGGTATCAAACATAAAAAAACATGGCATCCTGCCATAGCAAAGTGTGTTTTGAGTGTTGTTTTGAGTGTTGTCGGTTTTGTACTCAGCACATTAGAAGTCTGAGTAAGTTAGAGACCGTCTTTAGTTCTGGTAAATAGCACTTAAGACACCCATTGCTATGGGATTACATCATGTTTGTTGATGTTTGATACCCACTATCGGTCTCGTGGCTTTTGTGCTTGCAATCGGTCAATAGGAGAATCTGTGGAATCTGCGAAAGGAATTATTAAAACTTGACAGCGGAACAAACTGGAGAAGTTTGGCCGTAGGATTAGATTTCACGTCTTAAATCAACTTTAAATTTAGGCACCTGTTTGATTTTCAAACCACTTGACGTTTTAAAGAATGTGGGTTATCATTTTTGAAAGCAATGATTGTACATGTGATTTATTTATTATTTATATATAATATGATAATGTACCGAATAAACTGTCATGTAAATGTTAATGGACTGGCGTGAAGGTGTCCGATTTCTGTGTCCGTAAATTTATACTCAAAAGAACAGTGTAACGGTTCCCTTACTGCCTTTGTTTTCATCGTTACTTTTCATGTGTTTGAAGCACATGCAATTGTTCAATATGCAGCAGAAAACATTAAACTTGATTGCACATAAAGATAAGAATGAAAGGTGGAAACCTCATTAAATCAAGATGTGCAAAATCGAGAGCCAACTGGATGCGATTTACAGAATTTCAAAATCCGTTGTAATGTGACCAAATTCAACTGTAAACCCCGAAAAATGCCAGGAAAATTTTATGGATAAGAACCAAGCATGTCTACCATATGAGCCAAGGCAGCTGGAATATGTAATTTCAACAAAAAGTTGGACACATTTCTGACAAATTTGAGCTGGGAAACCAACATGACCTTTTTCCTCGAAAGTGGGAAACACACAAGAACATCTCTTACATATGAAATCAAACAGATGTACAGGGTGTTTTTCCAAATGTGACTGAAAAACCACCGTCAAATAACAGTGCAGTAAACGAGTCAAGCTATCCATATAAAAATGAGAATCTTTTCATGACAACCACTGGGGTGGTGTTATCACCTTTCACAGAGATTGCAAAACACCTATGCGTCAAGCTTATTAACTGTACATGAAAACTCCAGTAAGTCCATATTTCCATTTGTCCTGCATACAGGAGTATAGTATTATTACTGCAGTAGCATGTACACAGTCATGTACATTCTGGAAATGAAAGGAGCACGCATTTCCGCAGATCATGGCATCTTATTGGTCAAAGAGGCTAGTAACCTGCATAGCATGTACCTGCCCGCGAGAAATTATTAAATTGTTGCCACATCATACTCAATTTGGGTTTATACCCTCCAGACGTTCAAAGCAATTTCCTGGAAACCAAATTCAGTCAAATCAGTTTTTCCATAACAGGTATTGCATTAAGAAATGGATATTTGTGTTGCGCACAAAGGACAGCCAGCTACACTAGCTTCTCATTCCTCACTCTGAAGTTGGTAGCGGCTATTTTAGATTACAAGTAGGGCCTACCAATTCGAGCTCCATGCACGAAATACAGATTGATCACTTCAAATTGTGACTGGACCTGGCAAAATGAGTCCTAAGTCACCAAGCTGATCTATGAGCACAACTGAGTGTTTAGGGCAGTGGTTACACAAGGTACAAATCCCTCAGTTTGGGCTGCCAAAATAGGAACCTATTTACGCAAAGTTCTGTTCGTTTTCTTCCATTCCAGCTGATGAACTTGTACCTCTTGATATTCAGTTGTTTCTTTCCAGTACCCAAATAAGACTTAGGATTAATTAATACAAACAATAAAATTCTCTTCAGTGCATTAGGAAAGTGAGCAAATTACCAAACAGTACTAACAGCTTGAATTAAGACTACCAAGCACATATGTGATGAAATTTTCAAACCAATTTTTGACTATTTCTAAGGACTTGTCATTTTGATGAATGACTCTCTGCTAAGCAGAAAAACCCTGTGCTAGATGTTCATTTCCTTGTTTAGAAAAGACGCTTGGCTTTACAAATATAATAGCACATATTCTGCACCTAAAAAAATTCTGCCTAAAACTGGTTTAAGTGCAGATATCCTGTGGTGCTGTGAGCACAGACTGAGGATTAATTAGATCTGAACTACATGTTACAAAAAAAAGGGGAAAAGAAATTGGAAAGTTTACACTCCAGAACAGACCCGATTTCATAGCAGCCAAGCAGGAATTGGATTGTTTGGTAACTCCATGTGCTAAGTAAAAATAACCTGGGTACCAGTCAGAGCGACAATAACGAAGGCATTAATTTTAGGCCGGTACTCATTTCTGCTCATGCAATATTCTCCAGAGGAGAGCCTTCCCTAGGCCCACTCCCAAGGCAGTTACCAACTAGACCACAGCAAAATGGTTCAAAAATCATTCATTTTTTCTCCGGCCTCCACCATTGGATTTCCTTCTCGACTGATCATCAGTTCTTCAAAACAAGCGACAAAAACAAGGGTGTGATATGCATTCAATACGCAACACATTTCCTTTTTTAAGGAATCCACCACATAGTGATTCGGATATGAATGAAAAATGTGAAACACTGTGTCATTGTTACTTGGATGGAAAAATGCATTCAGTGTACATGCATGCATGGCTACCATATTTCTAACCAATCAGTTCACAATCTACATCAACAGATAAATGTCAATGTCCTAGGTGTATATGACATTGACCGGGGGAGTGGGGGAGGGGGCTGGAGAGCGTACGGCTACTGCCAAGTGTCCCAACATTTTTGTCAAGAATTGTCTGAGTTTCCACATGCCTATTTATGTGTGTGTGGGGGGGAGGGCCTGGTTACTTAGAGTGTGCGAATCATTTCTGGCATTCAAATGAACACTTCAATTTAAGTGAACACTAACTTGAAAGGAACATCAAATGTGCTGAATTCACCCTCAAAACATCACAAGCATTGTCGTGATTGCATTTCTCCAAGTGTCATGAGACCACGTTTCTGGCTTAAGAAACTCCACATCTTATGTACATGTACTTTCACTGAGGCCCAGATACCAGCACACTGTTTGCTAGTTCTCCATTTGGCTCTTCCCAAATAACAGCCTCCAGATCACACTCTCTTTAAGCAATTCTTTTCCCAACAATGATGTCTTTGTTTAATCACAGATGGGTTTTAGTGAGCGCTGACGCAAAGCGAGTTGTCTATACTTGATGTCTGAGTTTGGATTACTGACCATGGTTCCTCTATCAGGTGAAGATCCCAAGATGTCTGTCATTACGTGAAGATGGGTGCAGATGTTTAAATGTAGCCTGTTTACTTTTGATCTTCTAAAAATTGTTAATATCCGTTACAAAAATAGCTCTAGCCCGGAATATGCTACCAGTATGTACGTACATGTACGAGACTAGTTGCATTAGTGTATGGGAATACGTGTACTGGTTGAGAATGTTGCCAGCCACTAATTTTGATATTCAATTCCACGGTTTATGCAGATTCTAGGGGATTTTCAGATGCCCGAATGCGTGCTACTGCGTCTCTGGCAGAAAGCCGATGTCCTTTACTATCAAAGCTAAAAATTCTGACCAATGGGTTGAAACTCTCACCCTCCAAGACCATACAAAATCCATCAGGAGGTATTTTGAAGATTTTCCAGGGTCGAGAAATGCAGGACAGAGACACTGTTACCTGGAGTTCGGTTAGTGGCGCACTGGTGAAACTGTGACTTATACTGGGGAAGGGAGGAGGGGGTAAGTTGGGCCCTCCCCCAACATGGTGCCAATTTGTTAAGGAAATGAAAAGCACCAACAAGTTCAAAGCAATATTACCTCCTTTCTTTGGGGAGTGAGAATGGAATAAAACAATCTGGACCATAATTATCCCATTTTGCCCCCTCCCACCGTCAAACAACCCGGATATTAATCAATCCACAGCAAGAAAGGCACAGCACATAGAAGGTACCGTTACATTCCTCCAGTGAGGGACTTTAGGGGATTCCAAGTGTGCATGACCGGGTGATGCTTTAGCGACAACGGATGACACAATCGACAATACGGATGCAGAAAACTTTACGCTTGTTGCATTGTCAGGAAATTTTATTTTCATCATTGTACACATACAGTAGGCTTGGATTTTCGACAGAGAGATTTTTCAGAGCCATGGAACTGAAAGAAATTCCACACAAATAAAGAAATCTAAACCAAGCGATTGGGTGAAAATTTGGTCGAGGCCGTGTTTAGCCAACCTCGGGAAAAGACATGGGTACTAAATTAGGGCAGCCCGGTTCAACTGCACCTTTGAGATTACTTCAATGTTTGCCCCGGGCTTGGTTGAACAACCGCAAGTTCTTAAGGAATGCCAAGCTGATATGCTGCTAACCAAGTGAACATGATCGCCGTCACTTCATTCCAAGTCTTTCATATGTGTAAACAGGGTTGCCGCATCCTCCAACTTGGTGTGGAGGTTGTCAGCGAATCCGGCTGGCCAGCAAACTTTAAAAGTATAGAACCACACGAGGCACGCCGTAGGCTTAGACACTGTTAGAGTTCTTAGAGAAAGGGAGAGAGATGTGTTTTAGCCTAAACTACAATCCTTTCTCTTGATGTTTTTTTTCCGAGATCATTTCAAAGCATGTGAACTTTTTTCTTGTTCCAAGCCTTCCAGACTTTTCCAGTAATATCTAAAAAAAAATGTTGACACCAGTTTCAGGAAAGTTGAACCGACTCTTCTTGCAAATTGCCAATTCTTCTGACAGGTCCGCAAAAAAGGTTAAATTTTTCCCATTGACATGTAGTCAGGGCTAAAAGTTGACAGGTGTGATGGCTTAATTTGTTAACAAAACTCTACGTCAGAATGAATGGAAACATGGCACATGTACTCATAATGCAAGTCGAAGTTTCAGAAAACGCCAATGCACAGATCTTGGGGGGAAGCTCATTTTGGCTGTGAGACGGTAAGGTTAAGAAATGCAATTTGGCCCACAGTTTAGAAGCACAGACTGCTTGTAAGTTTCAATGCAAAAATTCTATGGAGTATTTTGAAGGTTTCCATTAGTTGCAATTCACACCATCTAATCACTCGTCCAAGATCTGCGTTAGAAGTTGACAACACATATGTGCACATAAGAGAAATAGACTTGACTTAAGATCTAAAAAAAAAAGTACAGTATGGACACATTGATTTGTCGGAGACATGTTACAACGGTGAAACAATCATGAATTCAAATTCTAACATTACTGTACCTTTCGTAACAAAAAGTATTCAAATACAGAAATTCAATTTCAAATTTCAACTTGTTCACAACACACTCTTTTCTGCTATTTTCCACCAAAAAAAATCTTTCGACAAATTTTGGATGTATTGATACAGTTTTAATGGACTGAGTTCCTCTTACTCAGTGCCTGTGGCCACTTGCTCGCGGTCATGAACCAATCCTGTCCCGTTCTCCTCGATGCAAACCGAGTCCCTGGGCTCCATCGGTTTGGTCAGAACCCCGGCATCAGAGTCCCCATCAGCCGATGGCACTTGGGACGGGATTGTCTTCATTGGAGGGACTCCGCTCTCCATCTTGCCAACGTCGTTGACAGGACTTGCCGACGGACTATTTCCGGGCAACAGGGTGGGCCGCGGGGACTCGGGCGACTGGTCCAATGGGGAGTGGTTCGTTGCCTGGGGTGGGGCTTGGTTTTCCGGGCAGGGCGGCTCTTCAGACGAGTCGACATCTGCCGTTGAGTCCTCGTCGTCGCTGCTACCCGTGTCGTAATCCACAACCGACAGACTACAGTTGTGGGGCAGCTTTTTGGCGGTCACTTTGACCTCTGGGAACAGAGTGGGCTGAGCTGCCTTGCCCGAGATGGGGCTTTCAGGCGCTGCCCCACTATGAGTTACCTGGTCCTGAAATGTACTGTTACTAACTTTTTGGGACTGAGGGGAAGTCGTGGCATTGTCTTCCCTATTATTGACACCTACGACCTGGTAAGATTCGGCCGGGGATCCTTCTGTCCCCTGGCCACTTGACGAGTCAACTATCCCTACATCACTGTCATTACTATTACCCAAAGGTTCAACTAAGAATTTGGGCTCTGAGGATGAGTGGTAAACGTTGCGGGGGTCAGTTGGGTTTTGGTCAAGGCCCCGGGGCCGAGTTTGGGGCTCAGCCGACCCTTGGTCGGGGGTCATGGTGCTGAAGCCCTCGTCTGAATCATCCCCCGCGAGGGTCTTTGGTACCTCGCAAACGCCCACCTGGCTGGTCAACTCACCCGCTGGTTTACCGTGCTGGGCATCCATATGGAATGACTCACTCTCTGTGCTGGAGGAGTCGTTCTCGAACTTGGCAAGGTCCACTTCCATCTCCTCCTCAGTGTCTTCCTCTCGCTCCTGCTGTCCATGCTCTGGTTCACCCTGCTGGTCTTGTTTTCCCTCTTGCTGTTGTTCCCAATCCCATTGGCCTTGTTGCTCTGGGCATCTAAGCAAAGACTCCTTCACCTCCCCGCTAGTTACCTGATCAGCTGTTGTCTCCTCCACTGTCCCTGGTTGCTGCTGCTCCTGCATTTCTACGTCCTCGGAGCTGAACGTCCTAACCTGCTCGGACATCCATGTAGTCCTTTCGGGTTCGGCCCCCTCCCCCTCGGCGGTAGTCCTCTTATGCTCCTCCCCTGTGGGAGGCTGCGAGGCCTCTTCAGCCGTCCTTCCCTCCCCACTGGGGCTTTCTTCCCCCACCCCCGGACACGTCTCCAAGGCCTCTGCTGTCCTAGAGAGAGGACCCTGATCCTCAGGGCCCTCCCCAGCAGCCGACGCGGTAGGGCTCATCTCCTCGCTGGGAGTCCTATCACCGGCTGCCAAGCCCTGGACTGGGCTCTTGGGGCTGGGGCTTGGGCTAGAGGGCGTGGGGACTGGGCTCGGTTCTGAGATGGGCGACTCCGGGGCCCGCGCCTGAAAACTGACTGGAGTCCTCTCCTCCGGCTGGATACCCTGCTCATGAACCTGCAGCTCAGGAGTTTCTCGGCCCGGAGCCGGCTGCTCTGGCGTCAGTGGCTCAGTCTGTTTTGCTTTGGCCCTGAGTGCGGCTATTTCTTCTTTCGCTTCTTTCAGCTGCTGTTGAAGGGCGCAGATGGTGCTTTGCATACCCTCAACCTCTTCATCCAGTTGGATCACAAATTCATTCAGCTCTGCAAGAAGCACAAACGGTCGTAAAAATTAACAGATATTTTGGGAGTTTGGGATCTTGATCCTTATTTGGACATCACTCTGCAAGACCTAGTGTCTCTGCTCCAGTCTGGACCCAAAAATGCTCCATGTACGCAGAATATCTACTGCAGGTAACAACAATGCATGCCAGCCACATGTCCCTCTGCATCAACTTGAATCCTTCCTTGGACGTCTTCAAAAAGACTCTCAAAATATAGTTATGAAATTAGAGATTTAAGTTTTCTTAGTTTGTTGACATTCAGCTTACTTATATTTGGTTGACTCGTTTTTCACTTGACTAATGATATGGGTTTCCATGTTCATTCCTCTTCTTGTTCTCGTTACGCACAGCCAAACCATCTTTGAATCGAAGCGTTTTATAGATGACCTTCTTGTCTTGTATCGTATCGTTTAATTGTTTTAGAGGTAAACAATATGCAACAAAATGTAAGACGGATCATTCTAATAATTTGGGCGGAGGGTAATCCCAGAAAGTAGGGGTCCATTTTTTTCGTGTCTCTGTCACATTTCTGACATATGATTTTGTAAGTTCAGAACATGTTTTTTACTTTCCAAAAGTGATGGATTAATGCAAATTACCTGCCAAACAAATAGTAATAGTTTGAAATCGGTTCCGGAGATATTTCAATGTCAAATAACAAGAGTCAGAAGTAACAGGGACATAAAGATGTCACACTTACGGACCCCTGATTTCTGGAATTACCCAGGAGTGAATGCTCCTGTCAATACCAAACAGTTGCGTTCAAATGCTATGAGCGATACCAGCCTAATTCACTCCTGCACCTGCATCTTTTGAATGGCCACACTGTACATGTTGTCTTGCTTGTGCCCAGAGGCATTTTGCCGAGTAGTTTCTATATTTTAACCCTAACCCTACATAATACCATCAATTACTACTTGTAGTAAAATTGAGTAATCCGTGCTGCCGCTTGTAAGAGGACATGACCACATTGTTCCCTGAAGCCATAAAATACAATAGAGAAGACAATGTACCATACAGTGCTGTGGCACTATGAATGCATGGTTTCATTGTTCTCTGTACGAGTAACAATGGAAGGAACCTAGCCAGTAGTAGTAATCTGTAGCGCTAGGTCCTTCAGGCTCTGACTATTACTTAGTATTTTGTAGTACTGAGTAATGTAAGCCAAACAATATGCTTGGTGGTTAGGGTTAAGGGTAAAAACATTAGCCATCCCGGGTCCTTCAAAATCCATCAGGGGGCATGGGGCATCAACAGGATTTTTTCCAGGGGGAGGGGACCAAAGCACTCATCACCGGCAAACTGACGACCCGTGGGCAGTGCAAGGGGGGTCAATTCAAAGGTATTTTTCAAGCCAATTGGTTATCTTGATCCCCCACCATCTTCTTTTCTCACATTTTTTCCCCGTTGTCCACCATTTTGAATTTTTGGATCCTCCCACGCCTTCGCAGTGTCCATGTCTGGAGGTTTTGGGGCATTTTCTGGAAGGTCAAGGCACGCATGACTTGCACTACAACCCCATGCAAGACTGTGGATGCAACACTTGGCGGGTTTGAAGAACTAACTCTAAGAAGACAGCTCTTTAGCCACTTGCTGCCGGGGTTTCCAGGACCGGACTCCTTGGGTTTATACGCATAGCCGCGGTGCCCGACATTGGACAAGAGAGCAGGGCCTTGCAAAAAAACACTGTACTTGAAACTAAAGACCGAGCTGCTGGGAGTTGCCAACGTTCTTGTCAACAGCAGAGGAAATTTGTCATTGTTATGAAGGATTACACCACTGTTTGTGGCATTAAGTGCGAGCGGATTACCACCGGGGACAAAACCACTCCAGCGTTCGCAGCAGGCCTGGCTGAAATACTCAGGCATCAATAAATGTTGTCTGTCAGACGAGAGTAGCCACCAGACAGTCATTTGTGTGGGTGTAAATGTCCAGTAAATGAGGTGATGAATTTTTGAAGAATTTTGAAAACTGAAAATCTTGAAAATCCCCCCCCCCCCGTGTGTATGTCATGCAACTTCAAAATTAAACTGGGCGGCATATGGTTGAAGCCTCCAACCCAAACTCATCTTTAAGACTTTGGCCTGGCCCGTCTGGCCTGGTCAGAGCTCTCAACTGAAGGGGCAAGTATAAACATCCGTGCAAGCACCCCTCTATCCACTTCCTCACGTCCCCGCTTCTTACCATCCTGGCTGGCCTTCAGCTCCTCGCTGTACTTCTTCTGCAGGGCCAACTCTGCCTCCAGCTGGGCGGTGCGCCCCGTGGACACCTGCTTGCCCAGCTCCTGGTTTTCCTGGATCAACGTGCGGCATTTGGACATCAGACGCTTGCCCGTTTGACTAAACATTGCAGTTTCAAAAATTTAAAGGAAAAGAGGGGCTCGTGCTATAAATGATTCATCACTTTAACAGTAAGAAAGCTGACTCAATTAATATAAGCCACGCCCTCTCTCTTAAGCCGCACCCTTTCTCTCTTAAGCAACACCCCTCTGAAGCATATCCCCGTCTCTCTCGTGTCACACGCTCCATGTCTCTTGAGCCACACCTTATCTCTCTCGAGTCAACCACGCCTTCTTCCTCTTAACCCTAACCATCCCTAACCACACAGAATTGAACGTCAGTAAAGTGTGTAAATTTGTGGCGCTGGGTACTGTACCCCTAAACTGCTTGTGCTTTAACATGGGTTCAGGCGTACCCAAAATAAACAGAGTCCAACAGTTTTTGTGCACAGTTTCCCATATGGGGTTGGAATTTGTGTGAATGGGTATGGTTCCTAGTAAATCACTCTGGGGAGTTAGGGTTAAGCCACACCCTCCTCCACTCTTAAGCCACACCCTTCTTCTCTTAAGCCACACCCTTCCTCTGTCTTAAGCAACACTCCCCCTATCTTGAGCCACACCATTTATCTCTTAAGCCAGACCTGCATTCTCTCATAAACCACCCCTTGTCTCTCTAGCCACATCCCTTCTTTCTCCTCTCTCTTCAGCCACATCCTCCCTAAAACGTGCTCCGCCAACCTGTCCGGAGTGAACTTCCAGGCGGCCATGTCGTCCGTGGCTTGCTGGAGCTTCTTGGTCTTCTCATCCAGCTGCTGACGCATCCGCTGGAACAGGATGTTCAGGGCGGGGTCCAGGAGGAAGGAGCGCAGCTGGGCAGCACTCGGGGCGCTGCCCTTGGTGGTCTCGCCCAGCTGAGTCTGCAAAAAGGAGGCAAAGCAGCCGAGACACGTTGGCAACATTCCACACGGTCATCGTGAAAAAACCCAAACCCTGCAGTTTGTAGTTTGCTAACATGTGGCCCACCTGCAGAACGCAATAATGTGTTGTAAAGGTTGCCAAATCCAACGGAATATAAAACAACTGTAATGGAAGCCAGTTACTCCCTGCTTGGATCAATGAAATCCAATGCCAACTACCTTCAGACTCATCGTGTCAGATTCACATGGGTTCACAATAACAGAAGTCAAAAACAGCCTGCGGTCTGTGTTGACAGCTTTGCCAATATATTTGTATGAGCTTTCACACCTGAAAATTGAACAGAAGTTTGGCCCTTGCACACTGAGTTGTTAGGACCACAGCTACACCACGGACCAAGTTCGATCCGCAAGCTTTACTCAACCACCAGTTGATTCTGCCTGGTGACTGGGATATATTCTTTGCCGAAGTTACCGAGGGAAACTGGCCAGGGGCCCATACAGGGTCGCTGATGAAAAGCGGCCTTGGGTGTCACATTTAGTCATTTGGCATGGGCCTTGAAAGACAAAGCCTTGGGCTTGGAGGGTCACAGCCTTACCAATGGCCTTCGTCTTGGATGACTGAGCCATTACTCCTCCAACACTGGAAGTCTTTGACCTGACAGAGCGGGCGACACTCGTACTTACAGCTATCTCCTGAAGTTCTTGCTCCTTCCTGGTCAGCTGCATCAGGAGCACCTTCTCCTTGCGGCTTGCCTCGGCTTGCTGCTGCTTCAGTCGTTCCTCAAGCTCGCTCTGACCTCCTTCAGTGGCCACAAAAGAGAGGAGAGGTTTCAGGGCTTCAAGTGAACCCGAGATGCTTCACCACAAGACAGAATCCACCTGCCTTCGCGTATCACGTATCATTCTTGTAAAAAGCCCTTCTTTCAAGCTGAGCAACATTTGCTCTACTCAAAATTGGTCACCCTCTGTTTTACACCACTGGCGCATGTAGTCTATTCATACGCACACCCACAGTACAAGCACGTCCAAAATTATACACTTCCACTTGCATGTCATACTTTTTTTAAGCAGGGGTTCAGGAAATGGTCACGCAAGTCCAGTAAATAAGTTTGTTTGAAATTTCAGTTGGTGTTCCACTCTTGTGTCAGGCTGTGACAAAACACAATTTCTTTGAAGCATTCAGAGTACTCAGTGATCACGGACATAATATCTAGGCTTTAATGGATTCATCTTCCATCTCAATAAACAGCGTACTTGGGTAATTAAAGAACTTAAGTACAGCACTGCTATCCACACAGAATGCCTATCCAGGGAAGTCGTTTTTTTGCTTTTCCTACAGAGGGTGCATGATAGGACACCGGTGACGTTGCACTTGCAAAACAGGGATGATTGGATGCCACTCGCATCTGATATTGAGCAGTCACTGCATGATAATTCACTTCCGTGGCCCAAGCTTGCCAGTGTAGCCTCTCATTCAACCAGGGTTGTAGCTATGCTGGCCGGCCCCGGCCTGTGCTAGCCACCACTTAACATAACTGGTCAGCACTAAGGATGAAAATGAAGCTTGTTGGCCTGCACAGATTAGTACACTATTGCAATTTTTTTAGAGAGAGAGAAAATGGCATGTTTTCATTTTTAAAAAATTGTCAAAAACAGACAGTACTAATAATTCATAGCTACAACCCTGCTTTCAATCTAGCCATACAAAGGGTCCACGTCCAGTTTCACAGAGCCACTAGGTAGAAAAAGGCTGCTTGGCAAAGTTTTGTGCTAAGAAAAAATTAAGCAGAGAACCAGTCTCAGGTAATATATTTTGCACGGTACTTTGGCTGGTACCCCATTTTTGCTATGCTTACCACTGCCGCAGGCACTGCCATCAAGTTTGCTGAGTAAAGTAGCGATGTCCGACTCCTGCTTCTTGTGCTCAGCTATCAGTTCCTCCTTGGTCAGCTCCACCAAGCCATCTCCTCCAAGCCGCATCTGAGAGGCCAAAGCAGGAAGTCGAAATATAACAATGGTGAAAAATCATGCAAGAAAGAAACGCACAAGCTTGGCGACTGTACTACATGTACCTTCAAAAATCGTAAGTTTAAACTTGACATGACTCGTGGCAAAGAAATATAGACAGACTCTAAGATCAGGTTGGTAGAGGAGGCAGAATGTCACTGTAGAAATAATACAATCAGCAAATTGTGGAGGTATCTCAAAGGTAAAAATGGAAATGTCAAAGAAACAATATTGTAACGACTAAATTCTAAACTGAATCCCGCAGAAGTGACTTACCCGTTTGGCAGGAGGATCGTCAGACATTATTGGTGCCCTAGATCAAGACAAAAATGAAAGCAGCATGAAACAATGGGATGAAATCTGTTCACTTTAACGTCCAAGATTCTCCAAGTATCAATCAGGGACCTGTCAGTCAACATTACCACAATACGGCAACAGATTTGGTTTACAACACTGGTCAACTGGAGTGAACATGTGGAAAATGCCCAGCAAGCACAGGGTTCTGAACAGGTTCTAGGTGCCAGGCCAAATTAACCAGTTACTGATTTGTTTCTCTCAGGAGCAGGTCACATGATCCGGACATATGATATTTCTATGTACTGTACAGGGAGAAGTAGAAGGAATTTTTGACTGTTTTTGATGGTTACCATTATGTATAGAAATGTCAGGGAAATCTGTGGTCAGGAACCATCAAACATCAGAAATCAGTAAGGCCTACAGAGTACTGCGTTACTGTTCAGGGAAAGTCAGTGGATGTCTGATTATGCTCCCGGACATTCCGGATAAACTTGTTCGAAAGAAATTATCAATCGGGACAGGGCCCAGTATATGACAAAGGAGTGTATGTTAGGCCCTGTTTACGGGTCTAGTGTTAGTCTAGTCAGTATGGTCAGTGGTCAGGCTCCATCATGATATGCATAACGTTTACCATTATTAGACCTACAATATAATCATTGTAGGCTATATCACTATCATGTTCACTATATTCAAATGCCACGAATGCAATCAACACCATTTTGATTCCTCCACTGGCATGAATGGTTCCCTTGGAAAATACTTCCAGGGACACCACAGTAAAAGAACAACGCACGTACGCGTTGTGAATGAATTTTCAACTTAAGTTCCAATAATGATCAAATTAAACACGTTAAAACAAAATGGCCGACAATTGAATTTTGCAGTGCACGACATCCACGGGGCGAAAACCCCACTTTCTGTTCATCGGTAGGAATACATTCTCAAATGATTAGGTCTTCATTTCTTACCCTGCCACTGCAATATTTTCTCTTATTCAAGAATGTCTTGTTTTTCTTCTAGTGAGAGACGTTTGGAAGGCTAAATTTAGCGGATATCAGGGCGGTATTTTACGACTGAGTCCATGGTTTCAGAATTTTTATTCAGCATGTGCTTGTACAACAGTAAATTGTTTACTCCAGTGGGTTAAATATTTGACACCGCACGAGGGCGCACTATTCGCATAACATAGTATCAACAATAATATAATATGAATCAGTGCTCTGAAATATGTGATTGCCGAGCGGTAACTGGGAGTACCGAACTGAATCTGCTTGCCCTGAAGAAGGTACTCAGTTACCGAAAGCTCGGCAATCACATATTTCAGAGCACTGATCTGATATTATATTCTTGTCGATATTCTGATCACGGTGCTACGCGGCCCTTCCATATTCCGCATAACATAGTTACACTTAATACAGCAACGTTTTAGCCATGAAAAATGTACGTGTATTTATTAAGTTGAATGCTAATGTTCAGAGCGACCAAGTATTATCATTGCACTGACATTCCTTCCACTTCACGCTCATTATCTGTAAACTATAATACGAATGTAATGGTAAAAATAATTTCATGCGGCGGCAAATGGATGTTCCATTCCACGAGGCGAAACCGAATGGACTGAATCATTCTGTCGTTGGATGAGAAACAAAACGACACAAAACAAAACCGAACAAGAAAACGCACTTGAACAATCAACAAAACCACCAAAAAAGAGCAAATGAACCAAACCAAACGAAAGCCAACACAACCAATTTAAGACGAGATGATGCAAGGCAAAAGAATCCAACTAAACTTGGCCGTGTGTAACTGCATTCGTTGAAGGAAATGGTTGCCTTTATGCGAATCAGTGGTTCTAATTTCAAAATGTTGCTCGATTTGTACGATAACCTGAGTGCTGCCGCGACAGGGGACTATCACTACGAACCGCTAACTTCACGTCAACAAATGTTTGTCTTGAAAACAAGACTATCTAGTCAGTAAAGTCTGGAACCAGTTGGGGTCTCACCTCAGTAACGTAAACTTGGGTTCCTCCTCGGTCTAGAGATGACTCAGAGCGACCAATTAGGGAACATATCCATTTGGTGGAAATATACCGCCGATTATGACCGTGGTGCTCTCTGCCATTGAATTTGACAATACACAACGAGGACACCTGACAATCGCCCTCAACCTAAACAACGCGATTTATTCAAACATTAACAAGTAATTCATTGATTTAAATGATTAATGTTAATTTGTATTGGGTAAATCTTTATTACAACCTGTATTGATTGCTTTGTGTGGTCTTGAGGAGAGATTATGAGAAACGCACAGCTAATTGATCTCCATTAAAAAGACTGGATAGGACATCCAGGACATTGGACATTGTGCACAAAATGCGCGACCGAACAACGGCGGCGCTTCAGGAGGGTAATGTTATGCTGTATGCTGCGCATTTCTGGTCAAAATTTATTAATGACATAAACTTTTTCTGATTAGACGATGGCTAAACCCTCGGCCTCCCTCCCGAAAACAAGCCAAAAATAAGCAGAAATGCAAGAATATCATTTCCGGAATGTGTCTGTTAGTTTGTTTTGTGTTTAATTCATTGTTTAGACATATTGTGTACGGTCTTGCTTTAGCAATATTTTCATTTTAGGTCAGTTCAAGCGTGATTTGTTCAATGTTTGAAACTCTGAGAATTCCACCAGGACACGCAATAGGTTTTGTCAGTAAATATGATGTCCAAAGTGTCCATGTGTTTTTCCGTCTGGTTTCAATGAGCCAACACTGAAAAAAATTCATCAATAAAATGAAAGTCTTAGTTTTAATTTTACACACTCGAAGAAAAAATTGTACCAAATAAACTCCATTCACACATGTATATTGAATATTGAGGCCTACGTGAACTTGAACTTTATGGCCCTTAATTCCCAGACTGAAGAACCGGAGCAAGCTCCGCCCACTTACGCGCCCGCACATAGCGCATGTGGAGCTCTCACTAATTAATTGATAATTATGCACGCCTTTGCAGAAAGCAGTGTGAGAGGGCCATTAAAAATGTACACTGGTGGGATTTCTATGATCATTTTTTTCTCAGGTTTTCAGGCTTTGTTCAATTTTTTTCTTCAGACAATCCCATTAAATCGTTTTTGACCCCCACTCGACAAGCACTGCTTCTTGGGGGCCCCGTCCACATTTACACACTTTGTGAAACTGTTTGTGAAGAGTAATATTATGTGGAAAATAAAGTGAAGTGAACTGAACGGATATATTAGTTTCTACTTTAAGTGGAATTTTTAGTGCTTTGTAAAAAGACTTCATAATCTTCATTTTTCCTGTGTGCACGGCGAGATAGCCGTTTCTTAGTATGGGCCCCTTCCATCATTATAAGTAGTATAAACTACTGTACATCGTCAGTGTTCAACTTGTGCATACACAGCCTGCTACACACGCAAAGCTCTACGCTCCGCCCATCCTGCTACATCACGTGACATGCATGCCCATATACTACCTATAAGTATGCAATGCTCATAATTATGCACATTACACTTTCCGCTACAAAAACATTTCTGTTTTAGTGACGACGAGGGGATATGGCGTTTGATTGCACGACGGGATGGACATTTTAAAAGCAATGTCGGGACACTGATAAAGTGACATAAAGCAAACTGCGACGGAGACTGTTTCATTTCTTAGAATTATTTCGAGGAACAACACGAAATCAAGATGATGTCGATGTCCTCACAGACTTCGAAGTTATTGCGCAATGTTTTGTCAAAGTACCGGTAGTTTTTGGCAAGTTATATGCTGCAGACGCTGAGTCATCATCATGGTTGAGTAAACAGCCATTGGCACCGTGACACGCACTGCATGTACTTCTGGGAAACGACCAAAGGTTTTTGCTTGAATTAAGTACAATAAAATAACAAAAAAAATACACTTAAATCATGCGCAGGTGCGCATGATTTAATTTTTGTCCTTTTACAGGCTCCATTTTTATAAAGGGGTCATATGATCGAAATATTTTACTAAAATCCTTGAAAATGCGCATTTGTGTTTCAATTAGCCTCATTTTAAACATTTGTTTCGCTATTTTGTATGTATTTTGAGGCCTTGTTGGTTTTACGCTAATATAAATTTGCAAATTCATGAGCAAAACTGTGATGTAATCCGAGGTAACTTAACGAACCTCCATTTTGCTAGCCTTTTATACGGTAATTTCGAAGATTTCCATTTCTTTTGACAATTTTGTGTCTCAGAAATATTTTCAAAGAACAAATTTGGGGTTTGACATTTGAACATGAAAACATGCACTTCTGAACTGTCTTCGAAGCCTCCGGATTCACATTACATTAACAGCGCCCTCACGTGTCTGGAAGCGTGGTCAATTTTGAAAGTAAAAGTAAACTTTAATTACCCTAAAAAGATTTCAAACAATCCTTTCTCATATACTGAAGAAAAATTTAAACACACACAATGCTTCTAAGAAACTTCATTGCACTATTTCTTTGGGCAAAGTGAAGTCCAACACTTCAGGAAGGGAACTTCCACGAGGCGTGGAGATTGTGTCCTTTCGAGTCTCAAGACTCAAGAACTATTTTCCAATAGAAAAGTACATGTACCCAGTTTTGAAGTGCTTATACATGTATTCAGATATGACACGTAGGCCTATATGTTACCACGTTTGGAATCATCCAAAATTCCAGCCCTTTTTAGGCCTTTATCAACTCTTTTTCAGATTCAGGAAACAGCCGCTGTTTTGTCCAATGATTTAATAAATATTTTGCCAATTACTTTTACATACCCATATACTCCAGCCAACTTTGAAAATACAACGGAGGATGCCAAAAACGTAATTTACACCTTCTATATGCTTACAACGGCGTAAGTTTGCCATGAAATTGAAATTGGTGTTACCTTGCTGCAGCATTCTTAGATCCGAACATTTTTTTGTTCCCTTAGCTTTTGAATACATTTAATTGATTGTTGAAAGTCCGAAAAATTCAATTCACGGACAATCCACGAAGAAGTGAGGCAGTGATTCAATAGCGCACCCCCCCCAAAAGTGTGGGGAATACCCCCCTCCCTCCCATGTGGGTTTTATGTCATTCTTCCGTGATTATGGGAAATGTTACGAAATATAAAGGTGGCGCGTGTGGTACCTCCGGGTTCAATAGCACGAATTCGCCCGGCAGAGCTGAGGCGTGCAACGTTGCAGATTGCAGGGCTCGCGGATCGGACATGCACAACATTTCGGAGTGTATTGCTCGAATCTCTGAGGGGAAAACACGAATTTTGACCCACATAATGGTGGTGGTGGGAGGGGGTATAATAAAAAGAGAAAGGAAGGAAGCTTTTTCAATGCATTCAGCTCAGCAGGTGCGTCCCAATTAATTGCAGCCGCGTTTCGATCTCGGTCATTTCACCTTGACTCCCGATTTTACTAGTAAAATGTACTGTATGAACTGGACACTACATGTACATGTCGTGGTGAAATATCACTTTCCAAAGTAAGTGTGATACGTAATCAGTAACTGAGTCTCTTCAAGATGCGTGTAACAGAGTCAGGCTTGGAAAAACTTTAAAAGGTATCAATGGGAAACCCTCTATATAACAGCAGCGTTTTTCTTCCTATGATTTATTTTTACATGATGAAACTTGATCCCCGCGACAGTAGAATTCAAATTCGGCAAATAAGTTGTAGTCACTTTTTGTTGCTTGTTCAAATGGCGACGCCAGCCAGCAAACGATATACCAAAATCCACCTGGGGAGATCTTCTGCATTGGGTATAAGTTTGTAAGTATATAACCACTTAATTAATCAGGCTTCAGATTTCATTTTGTGATTCTTGTTAATCATAGGCCTAAGTGACATTTGGGAGGAAATGGGGTTAAAAATATCTGTGTGAGTTACATTTCCGAACGTAAAAAAGGGTATTTACAAAGTTTAAATTGTTCTCCAGGTTTTCCACACATGATGCATACCTTAATAACTGAAGCAGTGTTTGAAAAAGGTTACCGCGTTATGCTTCTGCGATTTGTCCTTTGTTAGTTTGATCATAGAGCTCTTTTGCCTTTCTGTCGACCACTGGAATGATTTATGTGTGCACATGTGCACGTTCATGAACTACCACGGACAAATGTTTTTCGTGCGAAATTCACAATAACTTGAAAGTACTACCAATGTTTTTATCGGATCTTAGTACACACGGCACTTTATTTCATTTATTTGGATAAACTGGAGAAGTTGTTTTAAAATGGGAAAGGCCATGGACGTATTTTCTTTCAAATCTGGTCGTATTGTAAAAATCACTTTTTATTTTCAGAATTCGTTTCAAATTTTGTGCAACTGGGTTCATATAATACGGTGGTTTTATGCTGTCTAATCATTCTTAGTTATCAGGTTATCTCCGGGAACTTTGTTAGTATTTGCCAAAAATAAAGTATGATCTCCATCCGAGGAAAGAAGCGTCGGGAATGATTTCCTTGATCGCCTGCCTCGAAATCCGTCCACAGTAAAGTGATCGAGTGAACTCATCATACCCGACTGTGATATCAACAAAAGGACAGACTGCGGGAGTTCCCCATATAGGCCAAAAGCTCTATGATAAAACTCACATGGCGTGTGCATGATTGCGACATCATATAATCCCGTGTACGTGTACGTACGTACGCGCCACCCTCACTGATTGTCCGACCATTGACCCCAGACTGTACGTGTACATCATGTATGTACACGTACAAGATTTTCTTGTACGTGGTGCAACCGCAAGCTTCAAGTCTTATCTGCAAGTGTGAAACATGTAGTTGTTAGTTGTTACTAACGTTGCAGAGGCTTGATGCAGTTTACAGCGGGACGCAACTGACTGGAAGCTGGTAAGGTACGTTTGAACAAAGTTTTGTCACAGAGGACGAACGGCTTTAACCGGGAAGTATATTAGGTACATTTAGTATGAAACTCAGCATCAAATTTTAAATAAGGAAATGTGCTTGCGCTGGCAAATTGAAACACTATGGACGTGTGACTTGGACTCGTGAGCATACTTTAACTGCCGAGCAAGAAAATCAGTCTACAGAAGCCGACTGATTAAATAGTTCTAGCCAGTACACAAATGTAGCAAAACTCCTAGTCTATAGCTATCGTAATCAGTTGACTATCACCCCAAAACAACTTATTTGTCTGCTTAACCACTCTTTCATTTGCCTGCTTTGCTTTAGTCATTATTTCCATGCATTAAGAATAATTGTAGTGACATACAATATCTTCAGAATGAAAAAAAAAAGTTTTAATGTCCTTGTCCCAAATCACATCGCCAGCCCATTGAGCAATGCTGCAAACGTGGATGCCTAAAATGGGATGGTTTTTATATCAAGTATGAAAGGGTACTAATATTTTCATGAGCCTTACGTTGTTAACAAACCCCCCCTCCACTCTCTCCTTAGAAACAAATGTTCTGTCAAGATTTCTATTGGCACTTCTGTCAAGTTGTTTATTATTTTTTCCAACCAACTGGTACTTCCTCTGATGGAATTTCAGGCTATTCATGGTGAAAAACAGAAACAGGTAGAAAGGCTTGCAGTAGCACCATGCGAAGGAATATACATTGTATCTCTCTTATGAGTATGTGTGGTTCAGAAAAGAACCGGGAGTATACTCAACGTTTTGGACTGCGTACTCAGTCCGTCATCAGGAGTCTGAGACGGACCGAGCACGAAGTCCAAAACGTTGAGTATACTCCCGGTTCTTTTCTGAACCACACATACTCATAAGAGAGATAAATTCCTTCGCACGGTGCTACCGCAAGCCTTTCCACCTGTTGCTTGTACTTCCTCTGCAAAAATAGACGGGCCACTTGACGAAGATGAAATGTCAGGCATGCAGACATCAATGGGGACTGGGAAACACCTCGTTTAACAGGAAATGAAACTATTCTGTGGCTATTTATTCCTCTTTCCTGATTGCTTAAAAAAATCATGCGAAAATGAAAGAAGTGGAAGGTGAGGAATTTCCCACATTGTAACATGATGACAGGGCCATTATGAGCAAACACTTCTAACCTTACAGGGCGTTCACATCATATAAAACGCACGTCGGGAGCAGCAACAACTAACAAGCACCAGACACAGAAGTTGTTGAGTGCATATCCTCCTGCATTCCAGTCAATCAGCTTCTACCGAGGTTACATGTAAGGTATCATTTTTCAATCTCCATGTTACAATAAAATCAAAGGAATCTGAACTCAAACTACAGATATCTTTGTGTGCAAAATATCTTGGAACTGCAACCGCTGTACGGTGCATAAAGTCAAAAGTTCAAAACTGCAACTTTAAGCAACTTTTTGGGGCAAAATTTTCATGATCATAAAAAAAGGCTCAGGACCATGAGTAAGCAAATATGAGACAGTTGCAATAAATTTCTGGAGGATATTTTCATTGTCATGATCAATACATACAAAGGTCGATTTTTTGCTCACATAGTTATCAATTATGAATCATCCCATTTTCCAAGAAATAACACCTTATACAACAATTAACAATTATACAAGATTCCTGCTTAAATAACGTATTTCAGAGTGTCGCAATACACTGTAACTGCCTTCACCAGTTAAAATGCCAGTCATGCCAGTGCAAGTCCCTTCAAGCTACAACTTACAAGCTGTTCAAATAAACTGCAACAGAAGCATGTCATTGTGTACTTAGGTACTTATGACTGGTCTTGTGACTGAACTTGCGAAAGCAGCAGTACATGTAGATGGACTTGACTAAATGTACCAATATATTTAGCTGTATACATTGCACTCTGTTCTGACTAGGTTGACCACACAATGGCCTCTTTGAATCAACGTGTCCACACACTCCTCTTGGTCTCACTACCTGGTGCCTGCATGTAGCTGTTATAAGGGGAGCTGACGAGATCAATTCCTCCGGACACATCCTCTTTGTTGGTAAGACTTCCTTAGTCACACTTTCTGGAGCAATGACGCCTTGTTCTAAATACATTTGAAAAGGTTTGCATGCTAACTGGGCATGTTATTTGCCTTCTTGCTTGTTTTTCTTCAGTGTCCGTCATAAAAGCTAAAAGCATTTGCCCATTCAAAGGCTTAAGGAGAGTGACCTGACTAAAGGAGAGTGACCTGACTAAAGAGAGTGACCTGACTAAAGGAGAGTGAGGGTGACCCAGTTTCAGATCAGGTGTTTCTTGTGGTCTATGATTGCCCAAGTGAATGATCCAGCTGTGAATTGGAATTCACTCTATAAAATGACAGGCTCTTTAACTGATTCCTTGATCAGGTCACCTCGTGTATGGATAGTTTTACATCTTTGCTACCCTACTGGAGTTACTTTTAACAGTTGATTGGTTTCTAGGGTAAAGCTGGGGTATTGGACCACGTAAGAAAAGCAAGAAATTTGACCAGCTGTGTAGTTTTGAATGCAATTGGTTGAATTGTCCTGGTCAAAATTCCTGCACCTAACCTCCATCTAATCCTCTCGAGTTCTGGAGCGTTGATTTAAACCATGCTGAAAGAATTAGCTTGTGTCCATAAGTAAGCCATATGACAAGAATTACTTGAGGCTATAAATGGAAGGTTGGTACAATGGACTGTGTAGTAAATGGGTATGGAAGAGATCTTACTTTTGGTGTGCTGTGGCTCAAGTCAATGTGGCCAGAGCCATCTTAAAGTGGCCTTGCAGACTTGGTGCCAGTGGAAAATGGGACAGCAGCTGTGTGTGACATATTTCCCAGAATGCATCCTGTTTAGCAGCTCGTGGAGGTACATGTTAAATGGGGCATCTTGGGGCGAGATTTCCCCCCAGGGTTGTGACTGCACAGGGATACGATAGACTCCCAACCAATATGATGACAAGAATATTTATGGATACCAATATTGATGGGACCTTGTGAAACCAACCAAATAAAGAAATTGAGCTTTGTCATGTGAGATTTTAATTTAACCCTAACCCCCTAGGGTGTACGTAAAATCATATTGAAATTGGCGGATTTGGGACTGTTAGGGTTAATGGACAAGAGCTGTACTGCTCCTAGTCAGATATGAGCATCCTGGCTCCATCCTTCAATGTTCACAACTCGCCATATTGAACTTCTTGTCTCCAATTCCAAGATTATAAAATCAACAGTCAAATTACATGTATTTTTCAAAATTTCTGCTATTTCTCAGAGTCTACAAGTTGTGATTTGTGTCCAAATAAGAATTTTACAAAGAGGTAAGCATGGTAAAAATGGTGCAGTCAAATGTACATGCTTGTTCCCAACCACAGGGTAGACAGCCATATGAAGCAGCAAGATTACATTAAATATCTGTCAAAACAATTTACGTATAATTTATTATTCAACAAAAAATTTGTTACCTCCCGATGTTACATGTAAATGTATAAAATGCATTGCAATGACATGGTTACATGATTATAAAACCAGTAATTGCATGTCATGAAATTACTGTGTCATTCCTAACAGAAGAAGCTGTCATTGACAAACTTATAAATATACGAAATAATAAGCCAAACTAGTGTAATTGGCGCAATCATAAATCACTGCATTTGATGTCTAAATTGTAATATCCATTAAAGTTAAAACCTTGACCTCAGAGCTACATGTAATTTAAAGAATCCAAAGGCAGGCATGCAACTTTTCCTTGGATCTGCTGATTTCCTCGTTTTTCACTTTACATTCATGCCATTGGAAAGTGAAGAACACTGTACAAAGTCTTGTAAACATTGGAATTTCCTCCTTTTTGGTCAAAGTCCAAGTTGCCTGCCAGCAATGGGCAGACTTCCTACACCATTACTGGAACGAAAAAAAAGTACTGCTTACTTTGGGCAATATTTCTCAGTTGGTGTCTCATTTAAACACAGTTATGTAATCCTACAAACTTGGCAATTACAAAGTGTCTTTTGGTGGGCAATGCCACACAAGTATAGACTAATCCGATTAGACGCCATAACTGCGATGGCACCGCACCCACAAGCACATTCTTCAGCTTGACGCGTGCGTGTTTGGCAAATCACGACACCCTATTGCTAGAAGGGGCATGTAACGCGCGTGTACCACCTGTCCACGAGCATTGTGCCACCGCAGGAATGGCTTCTAATTCTGGTGGTGGAATTACACTATAAATGCAAGTGTTCCTTATTATTCATTCATTATTCCACATTATTCATCATCAGGTATTTCATATTTTAAGAAGAAAATTATTACTTATATCTGTAAAAAATAATTTGTACCATTTCAGATGTTTACAAATATATCCATTATTTAGGAATAACCTCAAAATCATACATGAACAAAATGATTTTGCACTGGCTTGTGATGAAGTTATAAGATATAAAATATTTGACCCAAATACTGATAGTTAGATAGATAGATGGAATTTGCAGAAACAAATTTCTCATTTCCAAGACAGCCTTTGCTGACCATGATTCAACAAAATCTCCAAAGAATAGTTTTATAGTAATACACCTGACAGATCTTAAATAAAAAGAATTCCATAATTGATATGGAAAAACAGTTAAGTCTGTAAACACTAAAACATAAATAAACATCCGCCCTGCTCCTTAAGAAAAACCAAACAAAACCAGACTGCACATAAGTGGCAAAACTTAGAACAAATGAAAATCTTGGACCATCCTAAGTTTCAGTGTGCAGTTTATTTGTCCCCAGCCAACTAAGACAATTATCATGCTTGTGTAATTTATAAATCCAGAAATACTACCAAGAGGGAGGCCACGTTATAAACCCACTATTTACAACCATCTTTATAAACTTTTCCTTGAGCATGGAACGTCTTCATCATTCATGAGACTGTTACATTTAACCCCAGCACCTTCTTAAGTACATTACTGGCTCACCTGCTGTAATCAGGGTGTGATAATTCGGCTTTTTAATTGATTTCAGCGTTTGTGTAGATGTCAAGCCTGATTTTACAGCTTTTTTGTACACCTGGTCTGTACAACAGTATTGGAACTTTGAACATTTCAGCTTTTTGCTACTGTTTCCAGCACTGATTTTAATTAACTGGCCGTCCAGACCCCTATGTAATGTTTATACAGCTTTCTTCCAATCCAAACTGTTCAGCAGTTACATGCTGGTCATTCATTCATGTACATATACTGCAAGGGAAAGGCCTGTCATGCGAACCGATATATATACACGTACATGTAGACTCACTGGCTGCCTTTCCCTATCCAAGGCCACAAGTGAGTAATGTGTGACACATGACTGATCATGCTTTAATACAAAGGGAGCATGGGGAGTGTTGTATTTTCATGACTGCGTTGTATATATCCACGCACACCCACGCGCACACTCACTGGCAGACTAGGTGGAAAAGTATGTCCCTTCGTCAAGACCGGCAGGGCATAAATTGTACTTCTGTAATGTACTGTGCTAAAAGAAAATTTCAAGGAAGTCAAGGGTCATGCTTCTTTCAAAAAGTTGGAAAAGAATGCTGACTGATTTGTGATGAATTGTAAAGGAAGTCTGAATGATTTCCAAATAACCTAAAAATAATACTCCATATCTGATCAGAAAGTGAGCACATAATGGTCACTCAAGCTGAGAAATCTTTGGCCTGGAATGCTCTCACTTTGGAAAAAACAAATTTTGGATTGTTTACCATTGATTTCAGAAAACTGTTTGAGTTTACAGATCCACCTTGGAAAAACACTCTCACCTCACAGTACCCAATCCCACAAACTTCAACAGGTCTCTACCTGTGTGATTCTGTTTGATTGGGTACAGCAGGCCCACTGCACAGTACAAAGAGTATGGACAGGCAGTACCTATTCAAACAAACTCACACACCATCAGGCAGCATATCCATCCCAAACTGCTGGGAATAAAGTGAGAGGGCCACAGTGCCCATTCAGTCAGAAGTCAACACCAGATAGTAAGCTACCAGTAACCAATGCCATAAACTCACACACTTTGCTGGTGTTGAATTCTGTGTGGTTAGGGAAGGTTAATAAAGCGGAAATGTCACACACCATAGTTATGTACGATGATGTTTATACAAAATGTGGTGCAGCTAGTGGCATACCGGTACTTGGGCGTCTCCGGCAACCCCCCTAATGACCCACATCCACCTACAAGTGGAGAGGAGACAATGAAAAGCAGTTACAGTTTTAGAGGTGGGAGGAAAACCTGCGAGGAATATATTCTGGATAAAACCCGTAGAATCGGGCAGGGACTGAAAACCAGATCTATATGTTGACCAAGCTGGGAATCATACTGGGATGAAAGGTAAGGAAACAACTATTTTTGCCACACTTATTTAAAATACACCTGTAAATGTTTTGTTCACATGAAAATAAACACATCATAGTGGGCATGATTACATTTACCATTCAAATTAAGCTTCCAATTGCAGCAAGATCACATTCCTTCAAAATAATCAAGTCCAACTTTTTCAAAGTTTTGACATCACCTTGCTGCCCTTTCTATCCATCATTGAAGATTAATTAACTGCAAAATTGTTGCATACCGGTAAGTTCTTGATGAAGACATCTTACATATGGGCTCAATCTCAGCACATCCTTTTACGTTGCTTCCAAATGTGAGACAATTCTGCAACTGCCTTCACTCTACAAGTACAACCATTCTCAAGTTGTCCTCTTCTGCAAAGATGATCGTGACCTATCACTACAATGTTAAAACTGATGCCTTGTATGTAAACACTGGCGGCACTACCCTATTTTAACACATGTCTGCTTACCTGGTTGTACATTAACAAAACAACTGACATTGTACACTACTACTACATACAAAGCTGCTGGGCAGATTGCCCACTTAGCAAAATTTTTTTTGCTGAGCAAAGTACCAGCCAAGTAATACACCCTGCACTGAACTTCATGATACTTTGGCTGGCACTCCATTTCACTGAGCTTAAACTTGTCAATGTCTAGCAAGTATTGGTGTTTAGAGGCTCTATCATGGCCTCACAAGCACACGTGATGCACCCTTTCTGGTCCGTCAGGAGTCAATCCCACAGTGCCCTCTACAGCTCCTGTATGCATCCATTACAACTGCTTTGGATCACACATCCACAGAAACACTGCCGGTGTCATTCCAGGCTTATGAGGGGCGTGGTATCGGATGTTCTGTCCTCTCCTTCGTGAACTCCATTTATGGAAGAAGTTGGCTTATCCCTCGCTGGTCTCGCCTTGTCTGATGCTTGACCCTGTTGTTGGCCGCTGGCAGAGCAGTCGTACTTCCCTGGTTGAAATACAGGCTCGTTTCGGATCCCAGGGCTTTTCACTGGTCCCCAGGACACGGAGGCAGTACGATGTTGGACCACCTGTGCATTACACAAAAAATGTTGAAGAGAGTAAAAGGAAGGAGATAATTTTTGGATACATTGTAGAATTCCCTTAGCTCTATCGTGATACTGCTGAGGGCGCTCTCAAACCAACTCAGGACAGTTTTCTGAAGAACCACTTTGAAACAGGTGCCAATCCAATGCAATGTGTAATAAATCCATGGTTTACAGCTGACTGGGAATGTGATATTTCCGTTGCCTGTTCAATAAAGCAGGATGTATACACATAGTTCTTCATGAAGCGTACTTACAAAGAGGCGAAAGAGAAACCGCTGGATACGTTACAACTAAAAGCAGATGAGTGACAAAGGGGAAAGGGGGGGGGAACAGTGCCTTTGTTCTACAACGCAAGTACTGACAGATACATGTCCGTAGACGTCAATTCATTTCAATTTCAGTTTACACTGGAAAAGGAAAACAACGGTTCGGCGGGACAATGCACACATGTACATGAACATAATGACAAACTCTGATAGGACTGATGAAATTGTTGGGAGAGCTAAACTTCACAATACAGCTTCCTTATCTGATGGCTAGATCAAACTAAAGTACCAGTGACCACCTTACATTGCAGAATATGTGAGCCGTGAGCACTTAAATTATCTCTCACTGTGTGTAATACTTTGTATTTCATGCTTTGTATTTCATGCCAATGTGCCACCATTTCCTCATTCTCCATCCAGGATATACATGTAGCACTCTCTTGAAAACTTTGCCAGTTTTATTACGCCTCATACAACACTTGTGCGCCCCAGTGTGTGTGCACTAGGGTTCAACTCTTTCAGTAATGTCACTGGCATTTCAGGCAGCTACTCCACACTGCTATTGGGGCAGTCGTTACGTGTCAACTGTAGTCAGGGGAACAAAACGCAAAGTTCACTGTCAAACATTACTCCACTCCTTACATGACAGGTGAACATACACCCGTATGCCCTTTTAGAGTGCAGTGCACAATAGCCATCAACCGAAAAGGATTTCCAGATTTTTTCAACTACCCTGAAACAAATGACCCTGAGAGAAGGGGATCTGCGTGTTTAAACAAGCGGATTTAGTAGGGGTACTATTGTGTTCCTCCAACAAGCTCTTGAGAAAAGCTTATTGCTCTGCAGCCTGGTCATCACTCCATATCTGGTGGTACATTCATTCTGCACTTACACAGAGTTTATGGGGCCTGATAGGCCAGGAGGATAAATAACATAGGGGTACATGTACATCGTAGGTCCTTGAGTACTGATTGGTTACTGTAACTTCACGCACAGTATCAATTGATGAATTTACAATGCAACACCTCCGCATCACCTGCAGTAGTTTCGTACTACAACTTGCACCAGCAGCCAATACACCTCGGTTCTTGGCATAACTCCATGCCACGTTAAAGCCCTCCGTACCAGTAATAAATCAGAGGTGTAATGCACTTTCATGTACAGTGGAACGCCGCTATAACGAACAAGACGGGTCCACGCTAAATGTTCGGTACAGCGGTCGTTCGGTATAGCGAATTTAACTTTGTTTCGTTGCCATGTTGAATAGCCCCTGACCGAAGTGCACCCTCTTGTAATACCTTGGTTCGCTGTTTTCGTGATGTTTTGCCGTTGCATTCAAGTTTAAGGTTTCTAGAAATGTATCTGTTAATTATTTTTGTTTTTATTTAAACTTGAGACAAAAAATTGACATCAAGTTTATCCTAAAAGTCGTGAAACTATGCTCAGGATCGATTTCTGATGCATGCTGTGGCGCATCTTGGTTGATTTGTGTATCAATGGCACCCTCTTCAGACTATTGTTAGTGCAATGCCACCGTGCGCGTACGTGCGGTTTTTCTTCCGCACCTGATTATGTGGAGTCGCAAAACCACTGTCTATTCAATACTGTTGACAACTAGTGGCTTTCCCTTCTAATCCTTGGGGAAATAATGACCACTTGTCACTTTTCAACATAAAAAAAACACCGACTGTTTTATCATGTTGACGTTCGGGAATTTCCAAACGGCAACTGAATAGTGTTCGGTAGGTTCTGTGCACAAATTATTGGGAGCCAAGGACGATGTTCGGTACAGCCGCATGTTAGGGTATAGCGATATTCGGTATAGTGGCGTTCACTATACATGTTTGCATTTGGGATTAACCCTAACACTCGATTGAGGAGTGTTAGGGTTAAGTTTCATTTGCAGTGTCATGGCTATCCACTGTTTTCAGTATTTACGAACATCTTGGAACAATACGGGCGATTCACAACAGTGCACCCCCAAGAGTTTACAATGCGTTGGCCATTCACAATGCACGAAATCTGTCGACCCAACGCGCATTCAGAAAGGGTCGACAGATTTCGCGCATCGTGATTGACCAATGCATTGCAAATCGCCCATATTACAGCTTTTACGGTTATAAAGACATGTACAGTAAGTGGTTACTGATTGTGGCACAAGGAATACCGGTGAAATTGGACACACATTCATGTGGAAAGACAAAAAAATCAGCCAATACATTGTAAGGCAAACAGTCTCCAGGCAGAAAATTTGTCACAAACCTTACTATTTGGTGTGTCGCATGAAAAGAGCCACGGAGAACCACCACAATAAATATGGATACTGACCCCAGATTCTCTGTGACCGGCATCCTGCTGGCTGGACTGAGCACGGGCCATTTTGGCCCTGGCCACTCTCACCCGACGGTGGACGTCCACGTACTCGTCCGTCTCGTCCACTATCTCCTCCTGGAGGAGCTCCTCAATGATGTCTTCCAGAGTGATGATGCCCAGGATCTCCTTCACGTAAAAATCATATAAAAACCAAAGGGAAACAGTGAGCCGTTGGTTGCTGCTGAGAAGACAGGGCACGAGTGAGGGTGAAAATGCATCAAGGACAGAGCTGGCCGCACAAATTGTGATCTGGGACACCAGGACAGGTGTTTCATCCTCTCTGAAGATTATCCTGAGGTCCATCTCATTTGGGAAGAGCTTTTTGAATGCACTGTGACACATGTACAAGTATGGCAGGTGCGTGTATGTGTACGCGCCCGGTATGCAACAAAGGGTCTGATTCTGAGAGGAACAAGTGGTGCACATGGTGGGCATGAAGTTTGGTCAATATGGTTGGATGTCAGATACTCTGCACCGTTAAGTGATAAAACTCTGGAGGGGCATCTGCAAATTGGAATGCAAAAAGTACATGAACAACATGCAACCCGAGACACGACTGGAATTCAGTGTACAGTAATTTGAACGCCCGGTATAGAGTGCGATTGCAATGTACTGGTACTCTGCTGGTACGCGATGTATAGAGTGGTATATAGTCTTCACGTGCGCACCGAATGTGTGCAAGATCCCAGTTGGAAAACTTCGCAGCAGTCTGTCTTGTTTTCCACCGGTGAGGGTGCACTTCAACTCAGGGTAGATACATACATGTACATGTACATGTGAATCAACGTCAATGCAACTGTGCTCATCATCAGTTCAAGACTATGAAAATTAAGGGCTCATTGAAACTCGGCAATTTCCATTGCTTTCCCTCAATGGAACAGGATCAATTTACTCCTTGCACAAGACTGACACAAGCTCTCGGACAAGCACTGAGCATACAGTGCTTATTAATATACGTTGGGTAAGGGCAAAGCTCGTTATATAATTAACATCTCCCCAACGCAAAAATACCTCTTAAAAATCGTTCGCGATACCCGCTGCTTCACTTGACTCAGACTGGCCAGCTGACCCCGGCAAGCTCAGTGGTCGAGTGGTTGAGACATGTGCACTAGTAATCAGAAGGTCTTGGGTTCGAGTCCCACCTGAGTAAGCTTGTGAGGTTTTGTCCCAAACTCTCGGACAAGCACTGAGCATACAGTGCTTATTAATATACGTTGGGTAAGGGCAAAACCGTTATATGAACTGATGCATCTTCCCTGCCACAAAATGATTGGAGTACATGTACATCTATGTACATGTACCACAATTAAACAGCTGCGTCGGATTGTACATGTACATGTAATTTATTGTTTGAACTATCGCGTCACATGCATGATCCATGCATATGAAATGCCATGAAAAAAGCCATAAAAAAGTGCTTCACATGCTGCACTGTGATTGACGTTACTGGTAATGATAACGTCTACAACATTTCTCATTCAGGGTTTCCCCCAAATGAGAAACATGATTGCATTGCTGAGAACTTGGGGGGTTCGGTACATTCTACAGCATATATTCAAGAATGACTGAGGTATGATGTAAACAGCAGGCAAAGCTAATGTGAGGCATTTTTCTGGGACAACGAATTCCAAGGTGAGTGCTGAAATTGAGGAGCCATGATTCAGTCTTCAACCAAGATCACTACAACATGCTGATATGAATGTGCAGTACGTACTCATGTGTTGCTGCATTAAACTTAAAGCCAATATTTTTCATATTTCTGTGCACTCATGTGCATGCATGCACTACCGCTGTGAAGTCTGAGTCAGAACGCTATTTCATCACACCTTAAAATTGCAGCAAATTTCACAAAGGTTTGTTTCCTCATTACATACATGTTCTGCATACTGTCAATGGCAGCGCATACATGTACATGTACATGGCCAAAGCACAAGGGGAAAGGTTGAAGTTAGTGGTGCTTTCAACAGAATTTCTAGTCTTTGGGCATGGTTCTCGAAGAAACTCAACTGATGTATTGTGACAGGTGAGTGCACTTTACATTTTCTACAATACACATGATAGAGTAACCGCCAAAACATGGGTAAGGATTTAAAAGAAAGGTTCTCAGTGTGCATGAATGCAGCAGCTACAGAAGAGGTTATTTAAGCTGCACAATCTACAGAGCACTGGATACTTTGACAAGCCTTCCATCATTTTTGCAGCAAAGATATCTGGCCCAGCAAAACCACTTTGAAAAAAACTGGGAACCTTGCCGGCACTGATCACTACATGTATACGCAACGACTTCTTTTTTTCATTCATACACGTGAATGATACAAAGAAATGTTGAAAAAAATACAAGTCATTGGAAGGTGGTCTTATTTATTTATTTTTTGTTGTTGTCCTGGTGATAAGCCAGTCACAGGCATTCAAAATAAACTCTGAATGCGTGGAAAAGGATCTCAGGATTTTTTTTTATTAAAAAAACTAACACCCACTTGAAATTCGTTGGGGGATTATACCAGTGCCAAATCTGCAATCATAAATCTTCAGAACTGGAAAAAGTAATATGTTTATAAATACTGGTATGCCCACAAGCCAAGTTTGAACTTAAAGCGCTGCCTACATGTAGAACATAATTCACAGTCAAACAGATTTTGGCAATTGAGAGCTTTCCACCCTGAAACAATACCGTCCATGCTCGTATGCAAATTTCTGGCAAATCTGGTGGATGATCATATTTCTGGACATGCAGGAACACAACTTTTCATCCATGAGTCACATCAATACAATGCACTTTCACTGCATATGTGTAGATGTGCCTATTGCACAATGCCACAAAATGATGGAATTGTCATGATATTCTACGACACTTGTGCAGATATAACATGTGCTCACACACACTCTGCTGTAGAAGTACATTGTACCAGTAGAGAAACAGCCCTGACTAGAACCTAACCCCTGCTAGGACTTGTGCATTGTTCTGTGCACTCAAGCTGCCAATGTACATGTACATGTATGTACAAGCATAACAAAGGTCACAAGGAAAAGCACTGTGTTGAACACGTGGCAGCTACTGCTTTGTACATGTACACGTGGTGCAAGTGACTGCTTTGGGTTTGTCCATATGCAAAGCCTGCTGGACTGCTCATGGAGGAATAAGAACACCCAGTGTAGTAACAGGTACCGGTATATCCAAAGTTCTTGCATGGTAAGCGTGTCTGTGAACATTTTGATGTACTTCACTGTAGATTTATCAAATCGACGACTATAAAATGATATCTCAGTCCTAGAGAGATACAGTACCCTATGAGTAAAACCAGAACTCTGTGTCTGTATTAAAGTCATGTGACTCATCAAGGAAGCTTGCTCATATTCACTCTAAAGTATTAGACGGCCTATTACATGTACGTGTACGTCACAAATTGAGCAATCTGACCAATCACAAGGCTTGTGCTACCAGCCTGCGATGGATTGTACGGGCATTTCCATGTTAAGGGGTGCTTTTCTTACATGTTGTAACAAAAATACTGACGAAAAATTTCAATTAAAAAAATGTGATTGGCTGTGCAAAAAAACCTGACGGCAGACATAAACTAGACACATATTTGTACCGATGGGATTTTAAAATTCGTTGTTGCCAACTTGCGATACTTAAAGTTGAATTTGGACAAATATTGCTGTAACAGTAGGGAAGGGTCACTCTGACTGTACCAGTATGTGGTAATACTCTAGACTGATATTGGCAAATGATGCACCTCAACGATCCAACTTGTGTTGAAACTTTCTGGCACATGTGCATGTACATGTCCATCTACTCATACTTGTGCTGCCTGGTTTCACTTTTGTGACATCATTTTCAAACACAACGTTGGTAAAGGGGAAGGGGGATTTCCTTTGAAATAATTATCTCCTCGTTTTGGGGGCCACAGCAGCAAAACAGAAACATTCAATGGATATTTTGAGGTACATGTGCCGACATGTACATCCGTACACGTACACCGTTACACAGCAAAAATGTTTGTCAATGTTCAATATGTTAAATATGATATTTAAAATTGCATGCCAGATGCCTTAACATATATCCAGAAAAAGAGCTAAGCCATAATTTATTGATAGAAATTTTGGTTCCGTTCTTCAATAATTCCAATTGCATTTGATAATGCGACATTTTAGATTAAAAGAAAAAAAAATCACTACATTTTGTCAATTCCAAGTTCGATCAATATGAACAGTATACTGCATCACATAAAGGGAAGCAATTAGCTTAAAATACAAGAACAGGAAGTGAATTTGCAAAGCTTTTAGTCTTGCAGTTGTCAGTAACCCTGTCAAAGAACAGCCAAATTTATTTCTAAATTTACCTAATATCAGATTTTACAGTTTCAGGGCTACATGTGCCTGTAGTTCAATGATTCTCAGGCCAAAAAGACGTGAACTGATTTGAGAAATGTTTAAGTTCAATAGCCTCTATGGTCCAATCTAAAGAAAAAAGTGAAATTCTTCCTTTCTAAAATTTGCTGAAATTGGCTGGGATTTTTCAGCCATTTACAATTCTGCGCATGAACTAATTAGGCCTATTTTGTATGCTTGTGCTCAACGTTGAACTTGAATAACTTGAATAGAAGGGGCCATTGTAGGCCTTAGCTCCTACTTTCATGTTGTCTGCGGCTATCCATCGTCAATTTTATTAATATGGCACAGAATCTAAATAAAAACCAAAACTGAAAAGGTAAAAAGCAAAGACCTCTTCCATTAATTGGTATCTGATCAAGGTGTGTAACCTATTACTTATAACATATTTAATCTAAAAAATTCTCAGAATTCCCACAGGATATTAACAACAAAACCTTGCCAAATCATTTACCACTACAAACTGGTAAAACCACTTTTTTCGCAATTTCCTGTGACTAATTTATCTACCTCTGAAGCTTCAATATCATCGCTGAATAAAATTATTTTTTTTATATTCTGTTCCTCTCACAGTGAAATCCCAACATCATAAGGTGCAGTGAAGTTCAGAGTTGGACTGCCAAACCTGTCGAGTTTCTTTCAGAAAAGGAAATCTGAGGAGTTTAGTTTGTAAAAGTCCAGCAGTAGACTTGTTATCAAAGCCAACCAAGTAAAAGGTACGTGCCATTTTCAGTATTGGCGCTATAAAAGTTTTGAACATACATGTATTTTGAACTCAACTAAGCATGACCACATACAGTACATGTAGAGTTTGTTAATAGCAAATTTTTTAAGAGTTCATGAATATTTTCAACATGCAGTAGACTTTCAGAAACTCAAAACTATTCTCCTTTCATTTTGAAGATTGGAAATTACATGTATGTACAGAAAAGAACATGAATACCTCTACGTTACTGAAGTGCCCACATGCATGGTACATGTACATGTACCTCTGTTTAACTAAACGTTTTGCTTGAGAAATGAGAAAACTGCCATCAAAACTATCACAAACAAGTGCAGAAAGACTGCAAAACCTGTTCATGAGTCCTTCCTCTCCAATGCACTTTGTTCTTTCATGCTGGGATGGAGTGCACACAATATGGTACATGTACCGCTGTGATCGAACAAGTTGGCAATATTGAACACATAACCACAACATCGCCGGATCACTCCTGCTTGCCCAGTCATATCCCTCACAATGCAATCTCTTAATTCTTTGTGGTGGCCGTACAACCACATTGGACATTCCAATTGCGATTATCATGATATTGCTATCTGGCAGATGGTGAAAACGCAGAACAATGTCTAATATTTTTACATGTACTTCCAGTATCACTTGTTATTTCAAAGCCCCCCCAAAATGACCATCGTAACTCAAACTGGAGATTAATTTTGTTGAGGATCTGACTTGCTTTTGATATTTTAAATATCATTCACAATGTTTGGATTTTGATATTAATTAAACATCAATTTGAAAGTGACATCAAATGATCGAGTGATATACATGTAGATACATCAGTGGACCACAGAGATATCACTGGACCATAGAGACAATGGACATTTTTCCATTATTGGATACAACAGGAAATCTCACAGAAGTATGCACATGTACGTGCAAAAAATTTTGCCGTTCAAAATGGAAACAATTCTTTTTAATTGTTGCCTTTGTGCTTTATTCAAACCCTCCTAGTGTTTTAACTGTCAAAAACAGTAAAAAATGCCTTCCAATTGATTTCCCCCAGTACACAGACACGTATGGGAAATTTGACTGATGACAACTGTGTCAAGAATGCATCTTAGCACAGGAGGGTTAATTCTTTCATGAATGTTGGTACTGACTACATGCATATGCACATGTTCGTGGAGGGTCGCATTTCCTGTTCACAAGTATGCTTAAGCCTGTAACATGTCGATACAGGACAAGGACTGGTGCCTGTCCTTCACAGTTTGAGGTGAACCAGGGATTTCCTTTCAGGAAGGATAACATACGGCACAAGAAATGGAATCACATTTCCCACTGCTCTTTGGTCTACTGAGAGAGCTGTCGGTTTGAGAAAAATGTCTGTTGAGTGTCTTTCTGCTCTGGTGCAAAGTTACATGTAAGTGTCCCATGGGTCTTAGGCACTAGTCAAAGAGGGGAGGGCGAGGGGAGGGCGAGAGGAGGGCGAGGGGAGGAGAAAAGGATCAGACAGAAATGTGAACGTATCTTAGTCCTTTGGAGATTGAAGCAGGCGAGCAAAACTGATACATACCGTACATGTACACGTACTTTACAATTGACAATGTGGAGGCCTTCCATGCCTACTCTGTACTGGTACTTAGGGGATAATTCATCGGAAAATTAGGAAAGTCAGAACATTTGAACAAGTGCAGTTTACATAACCTGGAAACAGGTACAGTATGTGTGTATGCTTGGGTACTGGCATGACTAATAATAACAGTAATAATTTATTCATTTATAAAGCGCAAATTTCATATAGATATGTTCAAATGCACTGTACAATGAAGACATTAAGCGTGGAACAATGAATACATTTAAACATGGTTGAGCCGATGGCATACAAGGACACCTCGGGCAGCCGCCAAACGACCGACATTCACCAACATCAGTAAAGGGGAGACAGTAAGAAGCTGTTACAGTTTTAGAGGTGGGAGGAAAACCCCAGAGGAATATTCTGGGTAAAACCCACGGAATCAGGTAGGGACTGAAAAGCCAATTTACATGTGGACCGGGCGGGGAATCGAACCCGGGACCACAGAGGTGGAAGGCGAGGAAAGAACTACATGTACCTTGCCAACCTGACTCCCCTAAGCGTGGACAGTTTTAACTTTTAGGTTTCAACCAAGGAAGATGCCACACTTTTGCTCAAAAATACGCAATCTGACATTGGCATAAAAAAAATTCAAAAGGCACTGAAGCACCCTTAGCATGACACATCAACGACTGAATGTAAGAGAACTTAAGAAACGCTGAGCCTTGCGTATGATTTATATGCTTGCGTATGTGCCACAATTCATGGCCTCCGTAAGTACATGTACAGTTTGCATATTATGCACACGTCCTTTGACTCGTGCCAACAGAGAAACCGCCAATAACAAATTTTGAATAGTCTAGACTGGAAATCAGTACAAAAACCAGAATGCCTTGAGCAATAACATTAAAGTAGGTACATGTAAGCACTACTTATAAAACACACCACTGTAAGACTAAAAAAACCCTCAATAATAGAGGCACCTGGTGCAGGAAATCTTGAGGTTAATGAGGTCAGAGCTTTGCTGTAGTCAGTTTTCTGAGCCCGACCGAAAAGTAAGTGCCCTTAGTCAGAATTGAAAGCAGGTCATGAATCGGCAACTTACCCCCTCCTTCCAACTGGAACCGTCAACCTGGTCAGCGCCTTCACGAGGCGACTTTGGCTCGGCGGCTCCCGGGGACGACGCAACGGCAGCCATGTGGCATTTCCCCGTCTGCATCTCATTCAGCAGGTCGTACAGGGGCATGTTGCTGGGCACCTTGGGCAACGTCCGGCCGTGCTCCTGGAAAATCTCCCCGATGGTCGGCGCCGTGTTGGGATCGACTTTAACCAGGGTCTTGACTAAGATGAGGCCCAGAATGTTGCCACGGTGACCCTGATAAACTGGTATCCTGGAGTAAGGACCCTTGACAAAGACCTGTTAGGACAACAAAAACGAAATCAAAATTTCATACCCAAAAAGATTTTTTTTTCAATGCAAATTAAGCTCACTAAAAGATTACGCATCCCATGAATGGAAAACTGTCTAAATCTATTTTTCCTGTTTACTTCCACAAAATTCCTCCATAGGAAATCGATGGCCTTTGTCCTTGCGCGTAAACAAAGAATCGGACAATGTATGCATACCAGTATGAGCTAACCAGGCTGGGCCATGCTGTACACCAAAATGCAGAAACATTTGATCTTGACTTTGAGCACACTTTGCGCTGCTGGAGTTTTGGCGAGTCGGTGCAAGGGAAGTCCGGTGAGAAATCTCACCATGCGGAATCAGCACTTTGTTTAGGGTGTCAAATCAAAAGCATACAGTTCAAAAATCCCTCAAATGGAGCTGAAGAGAATTGAACCAGCGTGCACCACAATGGTCTTTCTCACACTACCTAAATAACTTACAGGTGTATCACTTTGAATTAAACACCCTCAATTAAAGTGACATTTCACTGGATGACTGCAAAACAATGCATCATTCCAGAAATGACATTTTAAAAACAAATACCTAAAAAATTTACTACATGCAGATTAATGGGGGGTGTTGAACCTCTGCCAAAGCTAGGTTCACAAATTCCTGATTGTTACTTAACAATTATTGAATGCATGGGGGAATGGATCTACGCTGTCTAAGGATGATGCTGATAGTTCAGTGAAAGATTGTTCAAGATGGAAAAGCATCCCCATGGTTTGGACATGTTCGAAACTGTAGGGGTGGGCAAATATCAAGTCTTAGTTTTATGCCTTATTTGGTCTTTCGTCTCATTGAATTTGCAATAAAATCTGTATCATTCTGGGTCATTCTGGACGAGTCTGGAGTTAGTCCTGTATTATTCTTCAAATATTCTTCTGCACTGAAATCACAATGATTCGATTTGATATGACTTCCAATATGTACATGTACCTTGTCTTGGTTATTCAGTTCTCAATTCTCAAAATACAAACAGTGAAATGGGGCTGATGATTTCTTCTGATGCCATCAAGAATTTTTATTTGGGATAGAGCAGGTTATTCATTGTGCTTATTCAGGGATGTGTGATCTTGACTTCGCATTTTGACCGATTCAAACTATACCTTCTCCATACATTCTGCATCCATACGGCTCCGCGCATCCAGCATGAATATACTCTCCAGTGGCACCAGCGCGTCCTTCACCACCTTGCTGCGCATACTGAGGGCGCCCTGTATGATCAGCACCTCGTCTTCTGTGAGAGGCTCCTCATTTTGTTCCTGCTTCTCCTTGTGTATGCTCACCAAGGCACCAAGCTCTGATTCAAGACGACAAAGTATACTGAATCCAGTTACAACGGAACACCATCATGAAAAAAAAAAGGGCCTTGGGACATTCCACATTGCCTTGTTACATGTGTAACGGGTACCGGTGCCTTGTATGATCAGTGATGGAAAATGAAGAAAAACAAAGACGTGTGCCCTAAAAGTGCCCCTGTCTTAACCCTAACCCTCCCAAATTTTCCAAAATCCTTTTCTGCCAAGTGGAAGATTTCGGAGGATTCGGGATGGTTCTTAGTAAAAAGGCTTGGGGGTTAGGGTTAAACATGACATCAATGTTCGACTGTGGTTATGATCACTTCTCTTGGCAAGTCTATTAACATCCGTGTTAAAATGTCCTGGTTTTTTGGGCGTTTCTACAGAAGCCTAATTTCGAGTGAGGACAAAATGGAAATTTATCAACGAGTCATGCCTTGTCCAATTACTGTTGCCATTAGTGAAATGTCAATTACATCTCGGTGTTCGTTATGCTAATATCAAAGAACAACAAACCCAGGCAAGCAACAATACATTTCTACAGGTAACTACGGGCAGGTGCATCTGTCCTTCTGTTTATCCTTCTTTATTGGTTTTGGAATTCTATTTGGTTTGTCACACAATTGTTTTTCCTATAGTCGTCTCTGCCTCAGTATGACTGACTGCTGATTTAAGCACGAATCAACAAAAGGCATTACCATTTACAAGTTTTAAGTCTTCAAACAGTGCACTGAAGTTTGCTACACGTGTATCAAAGTAAATGGAAATTACCACCTGTGATAATCAATGGTAAAACCTAACCTGCTCTTCTGAAGAAGGTTCCGTGTTCATGACCCAGGATACAGTCTAAGACCTTGGAGATGGGCCAAGCAATCGGGAAGAACATGATCATCAAAAGGATCACCAATCTGTCACCAGGAACGCAGAAAATAAAGAACACAAATAGCACCCGTAACTCAAATAGCGATAACTCCCCCTGACAATTTACGCTCAAAAACAGCTAAAAAACGGCTAAAGGTATTATATGTTGGCCAAGAAATAACTTTTAAAAAAATGAGAGAGTAACCAAGAAGTTGATCCGGAGCAGAGCAAAGGGCTGGGCGGTCATGACGACTGTAGGTTCGAATCCAGTCTGTGAGGATGCAGCGTGTCCTTGGGCAACACACTATGTTACTGACTGCTTCTCAGTGCCCTGGAGTAAATAGCTACCTGTGAGGGTGTATCACTGTGCCTGATTTGGATATTTTCATCAAAATGTCAGCATCGATTGTACCCTGCTCCTGGAGCTGCAGGTACATGTAAAATGGTGTTACTGGGTTGATACGCTTGTGTTTGGTTTGATGAGCAGGGGTACCAATGATACAGTTCCTTGAACTAATATTGCGGTCTACGGGCATAGCTATCTCTGCACACTGCACCGTTTCAAACAAGGAGTCACACTAAATAGGTATCGTGACGATCAAATCGCACTCGGATAAGTTTACACGCATATTTTTGAAAATGTACCAGCAAAAAAAAAAGTCTATAAGTACTTACGGTGATAGCCAGGCTCCGATCGCAAGCCCGTATCTTGTGCACACAGCTTGAGGTACAACTCTAGCAAAGGTCACGGTACAAGAGATAGGCAACGGCAAATGAACTGAGCGAGCTAAATATCACATGGCATCTAGATACAGATCTACCTTGCTCCCAGAACAATATTCACCATACTTCTTGTAATTCTGCATGTTGTCATCTGTTTGTCTTCGTAGACCAGGATCAATTTTGGCAACTACGATAAACCTGTCTTCAAGCCACACATACAGTCAAACGGTTTAAAATGTATACCCCAACAGGTAACACTTGTTATTTTCACATTTGCTGCGCAACTCCGTCTGTTACTTCAGTTTTCAAAAACTACCAACTGTTTCCTAGGAATCTGGAGTTCCCTGCTTACTTTTCTTAGTTTTTCCATTTCCATTCAAAATGCATCTTTGCTAATTGCACGACCAAACAAAACGGCATGCAGAGCCTCCTTACTAGTGTTAGAATGACTGAGGCCTAGAGAATACAGCTTGGGTTAGTAGATGCAGCTAACAGGGGATGGACAGTAGTGGGACTTCAGTGAGCTACAGTGTAGTTATTCTAGGTATATTCTGTGGGCTGTGAGGCAAACTGACAAATCTTTAGGCTTGGAATCCAAACTGATTTTTCCAAAATACTGGAAGTTGAGGTGGCCGATATGTGCATTGCTTTGGCATTGGGTCATAACGTTGCCCACTAACCAGTCATTTATGATAAATGTACAAGTTTATATGGATGCAACAACCAATTCAATGCATTGCGCTGCATGGTTTTTAGTAAGTTAATCGAATAATGCATGGTGCCTGCACTACTTTACACCCCTGCACTTCTGTGTATTAGCCATCACAAAGGTACAGGGTGTGCAATGTACTGCATGTGTTTTTTTATAAAAGCACAACAATGTTGAATACCATCTAGCATAGCCATCCAATCAATCAATCAGCCAGGCATCAATTTACGCTGTAGTGTAAAACAGGTGTCTCTGACAATGAAAATCAGACTTCCAAAATGGCGGTCCATCAGTTGCACCCATGGGCAGCAATAAGTTAACTTTATGTGACTTGGTTTTTCCCTGAAGTTTTGAGCTCTTTTGCTGAAAAGTTTTCAAGGAATATTCTATCTATTTCCTGACTCTTTGGCATTTCTGCTAAGCTTTCAAGGAATGCAGTTTGTACGCACATGCAACTTCTCATCATTTCTGCAAAGCAGTTTCTAAGGAACACGGCTGTTTCTCAATTCTTGAGCATCACTGCATACAATCTTTGTGAATCGCTAAAATTCAAAGCTGTTCCATAAATCAATTGTAACTTCAGGTCAAGACTTTAAAAATACGCGTTTAACATGTTTCAGCAATTCAGGTTAGATTGGGCCCGAAAAAAAATAATACCCACTCTCCAAAGAGCAGCACTGCTGTGACGGAGACGATGATGGCGATAACCTCATTGGTGACCTTGTCCAGAAATATGGGCATGGACTCCACGGCGGCAGCGTTGGCCAATAGCAGGGTGACCAGTAGGAGGTGGTGGCGCTCCACGATGGGGGTGATGCGCTTGGCGTAGCGCTGCTCGTGGGGCTTGCCGCCCTCGGCCAGCACGCGCAGGCTGAGGATGTCCAGGGACAGCAGGCCCATGGTCAGGCCTGACATCAGACCTGAAGGGTGGGAAGCAAAAATGTAGCTGCACAACAACAATGCAATAATTCCTTATTACTAACCACAGCGTGTACAGTGTAGGGCTGTGCTGATTATTCGAATATCTGGGATATTCGATTATTGAATTTTCACATATCTAATATTCCACATCAAGTATTCAGGTGAAAATCAATGAAATAAAAAGAAAACATTTAATGCCTGCATTTTAATCAAAAGCACATTTTGTGGCTTTCGAGTAAACCCAAATACAGCTGAATGCATCAAATAAGCTCAATGATTATTTTCTTTTATATTTTTTAATTTGTGAAATCATGTATGTTCTGCCATTGTGGTAATTTGGTACACGTACATGTATATTCAAATGTTCAATCGAAAGGATATTTGAATATTTGATTATTCAAATTGGCCCAACTTGGTATTGAGCATTAGTCTTTTTGACCTCCCGGTAGCACCACATGAATTCCATCACCCAATTTACAATTGCCTAAAACAATGCCCATTTTGCAAGTCCAACTTCCAAACTGACCTTCATGGACATCAGTCCTACAGTGAAGTCATCTGGCTTTTGTCATTCATGTCCATGTAACAAACCCACAAGCATTCATATGCAAATCCTCATTATTATCAAATCACGCAAGCCTCCCACACATGTGCATGTACTCTTTGCCTGTCTTTCCGTTGCTGTCACGAACTTGCATTGGGCTGTTAACGTCAAAATGACTGCCCCATATCAGTGGTGGAACTCATGAAAGCTTGGCATGATGACACATGCACTGAGACAACTTTTGTAAAATTGACTTCCAGCTACTGAAGGGTTAAAATGCCATTAAGGTATTTTTCAGTTTTAACATGCAATGCAAAATATGTTATTCCCCATGTCGGCTGAGCCAAATATTCTTAAGTATTTGTAATGGAAAACTCCAAAGACATCCTGGCTGGGACATATCCTAATCCTCTGCAATCCCAATGCAATATACTTCCATGGGTCATTGAACCCTGTGTGGCTGGGCCCTACCTGTACATGTACCTTCCACAATCCTGCGAAATTCCAAACCACCTCCTGCATTACATGTACATGTAGGTAGGACCTGCTCACCATTAAGCAATTTTTATGTCGACCATAGCACACAAATACGCTTAACAGTAAGGGTGAATTTCACAGCAAATATTTTTCAGTTGCCGTGCTTAGCGCAAAAATGACATGGATGCTCATAGAGATTTCCCTTGTTACATCACTGAGCACATTTTTCCTCGGAGGTTTGCCTTTCGATGTGCTTCTTTCTTAGGGTTTCTATCAAACAGTGGAGCCTCTGTGAGCATACACTGTAAAACTGTATGCCTAGCACCACCATGGGATTGGGCCCTGGTTAAGGATAACAATGCTCCTGTCACTGCATTATAAAAACTAACCGGCAAACAGGACCAGTGCACAGTAGATTCCAATGTAGACCCAGAACATCTTATCATGGAAGTCCAGGGGCGGTTCCGTCTCTCTGAATACGGTGCCATTGCAGACGATAGTCTCTCTGTCCACAAATGTGCAGTTTAGTGACATCGACTCAAATGCGGCGTCCATGTCTTAGTTCCTTGCTGTAAAAACGTACATAGTACATGAACATGTAGGCAAAACTAGGCATGACTTACTGGTTCAAGGATTCTCTCTGGAGCTGCCACACGGCAACACTCCAAAGACTATTCAAGTCTTTGAGATTTGTGTGGTCTTGTGGACGATTGGATAGCCTAGTCTAATGGTACAACGCAATTTGGGAAGTGGGAAAGAATGTTGACACCACTTGCCATGTCATGTACAAAGTCTGAAGAGAGTCTGTATTATTTTAATTTTAGCATTTTATAACAAACTTCAGTCTTAGCCATCTTCAGTCTCAGGTGTCTTTGCATGATTCTTGATTTTAACAGAGATACATGTACATGGGCGGACAGAAAAGTGGTGTCGCGTTGAAACAGTCTTTCCTGATAAAAGAACAAAATCAATAGAATTTTTACTTATCTTTGAATCTACATTTCTTACTGTACCCACAGAACTCTGGGGCTCATTGTAAGAAACAAGAAGATTTGAAACAAACTTCCAGAACCGTGATTCAAATAAGACACAGGGGTGGCTGATTGCGGAATTATTGACAAATCATGCAATAAGATCGAGTGATCACACAAAGATCAAGAAATCATACCCAACACCGGATGACATTAAGGAATACTGTTTTTACATATAGACTGTCCACTGAAGAACACATTACAAGAGCCAAAAGTTTTTAATCATTAAATATATTCAAGGGTATGAGTCAATTAGGGCAGGGTTGACTCGGGCATGAGTTGGCTAGGGTATGAGAAACCCAGGGTTGGAGTTGACTTGGGTATGAGCTGACTCGGGCTCGAGTTGATCAGGGTTCTGTGGAACTCTTTCCGTATTAAGTTCTGTGTGCAAAACTGGCCTCTAAGGTCGTCTTGTTGTTTGTGTGAAGTCAGCTACTACGACTGAGCCTGTTGCTTGGGTGAGAAATTTGGCAAGGAAATACATTTTTAAAAAAAAAAGATACATTCAATACATGCATGGGACCTATAGGCATAAATATTTTACAAATCGGGGCAGGCAAGGGAACTTGGGCAGGCCTGAATGTAAACTAAAAATAAATTATATGGCCTAAATGGCCTTACTTTGTCAATGCTCGATTACGGAGGAAGGAGGTTTTCTTGTTTTAATAAAATCAAGTAGGGCCTATGGTATTTATAACAATCAATGACTTTGCCCTACGGTGTCAGTTACCAGTCAACATGTGGTGCATTTGTTGCGATGGGCTAGGGGAAGGAAAGGGGCATGTCATGCATGCCTGAAGGAGTGTATCCCCATAAATTATGCGGGATGGCCCTGACCATACCCCATCTGGGATTCAGTACTGTTGATGGGGCAAGGCACCTCATATTTAGCAGTAAAACAGGTGCTCGAAAATTTTAAAAGTTTAATTTCTAATAATCAAACGGCCATTATCTAAATGCTAACCTCAAATATGCCTGCAAGATCTCAGACTGACAGAGGTTCAATGTTGATCCTCACGGATTCAGAGTAAAAGATACCGCTGAACATGATGCCGCGTACAGTAAATCTAGCCTGTTTTTTACAACTAAAGCCGTGTTTACAGTGGACTTTTTCTGTAGAATTACAAAATTAAATCCAAAGGGAACACACGGTAAACTGACGTCCCTGTCAATGTACTGCAATCGTGATGTACAACTCACAGGGCGAAAAAGGTCATAGAAGATTTCTGTTTACCTAAGCTGTGTGTGTAAAACTGTAGGGCAAAGTCATTAATTACATGTATACTGGGCCCTAAACTGTAGAACTGTATTGATCCCAATGTTTGCCTCTTATTCCTTCCCACTCCCATGATGTTTTTATACTGTTGTGCCAAATCACTCTTGCAGTAACTTCACCAAGAAGGCATGTACATGTACGAAATTTACTTGCACAAATAAAAGAGATTAGAAGAGTAAGCTGGCACAATCACGCTTTAAATAGTGCCTAAAACAGTCGCAAATGCGACCAAAATTTTGCTAATGCGATCATATTTTCACCATCTAGTCGCCCTTTGCGACTTAAGATAGCTTAAAAACTACATACAAATGTATTTGAACAATTTTGAGTATGCTTAAAAATTTTAGAAAGCAATGATTATGTACTTAAAGTTCATTCCGGAAAAGTAGAAATGGCAGCGCAAGTCACATAGAGGCGCACCAAGTGCGCTGCACATGTACATATACCATACTTTACATGTACATGTGTCGCGATCACGAGCACAGTTTGGTTGGTTCCCATGTAACCATACGTTGTTGATGCACTGTATACGGACACCAGGGCCATTTTACAAACCACGGCATGGCATGGGCTCCATTTTTGCTGCAACGTAAATGAAACCTGAAATGGAACTCATGCCGGAATTAAATGGTGTCGCTGTGATTTAGAGTGCCAGAAATAACATAATTCATGCAGCAGGGTATCCCGTGACATGCTGAAACTACGGATATCAAAACGTTTGTGGCTGAACCCTTGGCGAAAACCCCGATTTTGTGGATTGACCTCATTGGCGCTTGTATGCAAGTTGTGTGGTGGACGTGTGCCACGCCAGCTCATGATTCTTCGGCATGGATGGACGATGTAAACGCAGGTTATACTACATGTGTGTACGTACGTTCATGAATATTCAGCACATGTGATTACTAAATTTTCATAAAAGTGCTGGTGCCTAGATTTTCCCCCATTAGGAGCCAATGGCTACCAAATACTGTTTTTCTGTTTAAAGGGTTGGGCACGATCAAAACAGCCAGAGATTGTACATGCACGGGGCTATATGGGAGGTACGCATCGCCATGCAGTAGCACATTATGCACATAGGCCTAATGCAGTTTATCACATACTTTGCTCCTTCCAAGGTAGAGTTGTCTCTAGGTTGAAGTACAGTAGGCCTAGGTTGACTTGGGGACGGACAACTTGTCTTAACCCCTTTGCTACAGGAAGCAGTAAGAGCCGCCGTAAAAATTGAGATTTCTCAGCCCGCTTTTCAGCTATTATTCTTGGCCTACGCTTGAGCGAACACGGTGAAAGAAGGCATACCCTGGTTCTTGTATATACATGTATGGTGATTGGCCTTTGTGTATTGCCAAGAAATGAAAAGGCAGAATTTGCATCATAATCACCCGCTTCACAATCTGACAATAGTCCCTACTTTGAAAAGAGGCAACGGGAATGTGGAAGAGTGAATAGAGCTGCATGCCACCGAACAATGAGCCTTTACATTGTGTAAATCAAAGAGTGCAGAGCACACAGGGCCACACAAATCGAGAATTTGCGGTTTGGCAGGTGGCCTTCGTCATGTCCGTGGCCAAGCGAGGCTGGAATTCTCGGAGTCAGCTTTCAGGAAAAAGTCCCGGCGTCAAGGGGTTAACCGTCAATTTGTCCCGAGTCGAGTTGTCCTAAAGGAGGAGTTTGCATCTAGACTTACCAATGAAATCACAACCGTGCGTTCTTATTCCTCCTACCAATCCACTGCGTGCTGATTTCAAACTGTTCGGCTGGGCCGATCCCTCCCTCCTATCCTTCGTTGGGGGATGATATGGTGTAACAGTGTCTACCGTCACTACAGGTTTGGATGGCCGGCTATGTGGGAATGAGCGACATCAGCGGAGGCTCATTAATTACAATCAACAACAATCACATTTCTTCACCCGCAGGAGCCATCTTGACAAGCCATGAAACTTGCCTTCCCATCATGCAATTCTACATAATCAGACTGGTACATTGTCCCGTTGCAGTGGGTCCGTGCGTAGTTTGACGAATCGACAGCGCTATCGCGCGGCCAGAATGTGAAATAAGAATAACTGTACCTCATTCAGGTAAACACTGTCAACACATTGGGTGGTAGCAACGTCAACATACCGTTCAACATATTCAATTTTGAGAAAACATTCCATGTCCTGAGCTGAGTCCACCACACGGAACACCAATTGACATGATTGACCTGTAAACGGCATTTACAAAAAATAAATGTGTGCGTGCGCCGCACGCGCATACCATGCCAAAGACAGTGCAGCGATATACGTCCGTGGAATGGTGGAACGAACAATGAGCTCTATATGGAACGCCAAAGAGACATTTAATGTGATCAGCGAATCGACCTGTTCAGGTTCATCACGCGCGTGCACGGTCGTAAAGTCTGGCTGGCTGTCGACACAAAAGAAAATCAATAATTCACCAATCGTTGAAATATCTCATATAGATATCCATACACAAGCATACACGGATAAGGCATATATCTAGGTCAAATATGACAAAACTATGAGTGATGTTTCTGTTAACTTTGGCCGCCCATATGAATAGAAAACGCCAAAAATGAAGAACAGCATTGGTCCCGTACAGCCCCGTCCTCTTCCAAAGCGCACAACCAGGCCTCCAGCGGGAAACCAGCGAAATAGGGGGCGTTAGATTTTTCGGGGAATTCCAATCTCTCCAGAAAAGACGTTACTGTTGTCCCCTAGTTTAAGTTTGAAGAATTTGAATTTAGGCGCAAAGTTCATCAGAACATAAATGATTAGAAATAATGTTTGGTAAGTTTGTTTTTATGGGGTTTTTTGGTAAATCTACCCACACATTCTCATTCGTTCACTGGTAGGGTGGCACTGCACTGTAGAGGTGCTTCACTTGTTTTTTAATCATATTCTCAATTTTATGATGTTTATGGCCCTCATCCCAGGCTGTATGCGACAACTAGCAATGGTGTTTGCATGTGAATGGACAGATACAGATCTGTAATGTATTGAATTTTTTTTAATAGCCATTGGAAAAGTGTAATGAAATAAAACTACCTGTGACCATCCTGACCATGCACATATGCAGGCCTACACACAGTACATGTATGTGCACTTTTGTGTCGAGACTCTTTCTTTGGTAGTTCATGGAGGAAGAACACAAAGGATTTGATTATAATTCTACAAATCAGCAAATTTCTGGATGCATTTTGAAGTCAAAAGATTTAAGAATGCATTGAACCATTACTGAACATTAATCAGTGCCTCAGGTAGGGCTAGCTGTTATGCCCCAACTAACGTTATTTTATAGTTAAAAAAAGTTAAAATAATGTTATTTTTGGGCTGGCTCAACTAGTCTTGACCAATTTCTGTTGAAAATTTCTCAACCTTACCCAAGTTTATGCATCTCACACATGACACAATTCATTTAAAATATGGCTGTTCATCTGTATGACTTGACATTATAAACAATATGACCTTGGCACATGCTGGGCACGTGCACGCTGGACCTCTGTGCTGTGGGCCCAACTATAATTGGGACTGATGCTGTAGTTGGGATGTAACAGGGCCACGCTTTTAACAAATTTCTGGTCAATTCCACACAAACCTTAATTGTAACATTTTTAAAAATCTCCCTTTCAACTCAACTGCCTGTTTGCTTGAAGAGTTGATTATGCAGTTTCAATGCACTCCATTACTGTCTGCAGGATCTGACCTTACTCTGACCATGGAGGAAGGAAGAAGAAGCAAAACAAGGAAATAAATGCTACAAAAGAAGGAAATAGTAGAAATATAATAATATAATGTCAGTATCTGAATCGGCCCCAGGCGAGATACATGAAGCCTAGTAGTCAGTAGTAGTAGTAGATTGATATGACTGACCCTCATTGTTGACTGTTTTATTTGAAATTTTGAACGTATGTTTGAGGAGAGTGACCGTGGTGGTGACGTACATGAGTTGAAGTTCATACGTACTTTCAACAAATGTGCATCCTTGCAAGGCATGCCAGTGCTGAGTGCTGTTTTATGTGTCTTCATGGTGTAAGTGCCCTTACAACGATGTTGACGAATAAAAGTGAAGAACAGCCCACTGTCTATTGTTCACGGTACTTTTGATTGTACATTGTTTGTGTGAATGGAATGTAAGGCTGGGCATGCTGGGTGGCTCAGTTGGTTCAGCACTGTTACAATGTTTAATTTCAGAGGTCACAGGTTCAAATCCTGCTCTTGTCAATATCTTTCAGCCTAACAAATGGAATTTGGAAAAGGCTAGCCATTAGTAGCCTACACAAGCCTCATTGCCACATGGACATGTATACTCTAGTGTGGATTTACATCATACATGTACCTCAAAAATGTTCATTGTCAAAGGCCAATTACGGTATGCTCAGTGTGTAAGCTGAGTTGATGGGTGTGGGTTGACTCTGACAAGCTTTCTTTTATGCATGTCCACACTGGTCCATTGGCACTAGCTAATCGTGATTATTTGTGAATCTTTCATTCTTCCATGCTTGAGTATAAGTAACATTCTAATTTAATTGGTATCATAAACATTAATCTTTTTGTCTCAAATCCAGAGATGGGTGGATGTGCGTGCAGTAATGCTTTATTTTTCTAGAAATGTGGAGTCACGATATGTTGGGTACATGCATGTACGTGTACATTAAAATTCTCTCGCAGGATATGTTATTATATTGAACAAGTTCACCCAGTGGGTATTGTGGAAGAGTGTGTTGGATAATCTGTGCTAGACTTCAGGAAATCATCCAGTCTTAGGGCTGTGCCAAATATTTAATCGATCAAGTGAATATTCTATTATTATTTTCCGAATTTGAATACATATATTAGAATGCAAAATTCATGAAAAGGAAAAGAAAATTTTCTTTTGTTATAAGTGAGAAAAATTGCACTGTGGAGGCTTGTTCCAAGCAGATTCAAATAAAAAGTGAAAGCTATCTTGCAACGATTCAAAAAGTTAATTATTCATTAATTAAAAAATTTAATAGGAATAGAAATTTTCAATAGGGCAAGAAGTATTATTCATACCTTAAATCTTGCTAAAAGCTGGGTGGAGATACTTCTAGATGTGAGAAGCCATCATGGTGATTATAATGTATTGTGTGTGTTACTGCAAGTGATTTATGTATATATGGTTTGTTCATGTACATGTAATCAAACGTCCACCGATTGGTATGTGTACAACCAAATATTTGGATATTCGATCAAATTGAAGGTTGAATGTTTGCAGAGTGAATTATTCGAATTGATTCAGCTCTGTCCAGTCTGCATCGTTTCTTTTTAGTTAAATCTCTAAAGACTGCTAGTTTTGCACATTTTGTGCCCTTTGGCATGCCGAGTTAAAAGATACAGGGCCTACATGTACATGTACACATTGCCACCACGGTCCGTTTTTGATGCAATCTCATAAAAATGTTCATAAGAGTAGACTAACAGAATGAGCCATATTAGAAAACTGCAAAACTGAACAATTTTTCAATACAGTCATGACAGTTGTCTCAAAGTCCCAGTTCTTGTTGCCTCTGCAATCTGACCAGTGGTGGGAAAACAAAGGATTGTTCACGCTTTCAGGTTTACAGCTTCTTTTACTCCTCTTCCGCTAGTGCCACGCAAGTTTCCCTTTCAATTTAGGCTTTTTATCAGAATTCGCTACTCATTTACCACTTGCCTGGGAGTATGTATGCCCAGCATCTTGTTCATTGTATTTGTTGACAGACTTATGTACATGTACATGTATGAACACTTTACCCGCAAGTCATTTGAAATTGGAAGTTGAAGTTGAACATGCTGTCTTTGATGATACATGTAAGTTAGGATGACCCAAACCCCCTTTCACATCCCTAACACCCAAACTCTTGCCGTCCCTGTTTGAAAAATCATCAGGGCTCCAAAAATGTTTTTAAAAAGTGGCAAATGAGTGTGGATTTTTCCCCTTTTTATTTATTTCTTTTTGTGAAGTGAAGAGAGGTCAATAATTCCTTCTCTGGAGCCTTTGCCCAAATCAGCAATACATTTTTACGAAAAAAAAATGAATGTGCATCTTCTCAAATGATCCATACAAGTGGGTACATGTATTGAAAACAGATTCAGACTTCAGAGTGTGATAAATCTTGTTTCAGAAAGTCCTTAAATTAACAAATGCCAGTACATACATTGTACATGTTACTGTTTATGGATTTATTGTCAGTTGAATACTACACTTTTTGGTCAGTCCTTCCATTTTTGCCGAATTGTGTTTGACTGCCCTGTGAAATACACTCATTAAATATGGCCTATTTTTTTTTCAGAATGGTTCAGCGATATAGCCGCATCAGTGTTCTTTCCAACGAGTTCCTGTAGTCATGGTTTTTATTGAGATCAGCGTCAAGTATCCTGCGGAAGAAATCAACCTTAAACAATTACATCAAGTGTATTTTGAGAGATTGGTACACCGGTTGAGTGAACATTTGCAACACATTAGTTTGGTGTTGGTTCAAATAGGTATGGAGAAACAAGAAGTACACTAATAGTTTTCATTGTTATGATTAGACTTAAGCCTCACGGCATGGGGGGAGGAAATGAAAACGGTTCATTCCAACCTATGCCATGTGTTTCAAAACCGATCCCTGAGATAATATTTTTACATGCTGCTCCAGGCACAACTTCAAGTTACGCATTCATATCAGGGAGTTGCACGTGACAAGAGTTGCACAGGGATGAGGGGCAAGTATCTTCCTCCCCCCATCAGAATTGCACGTAAACTTTTACTGAAAGTTTGGAATGAACTTTTGATTTTGTACAGTGTGCGCACGGTAGTCCCTTGTTCCGTAGCTTCTGGAAATCAGATACGTATATTTTGAAAACTTGACGACTGCTTTGCAAATGTTCTCTGTGCCACCCCTTGGCCCCCAAATTTCAGAGTCTGGTACATGCACTGTGAAACAAGAGTGCACTTAAAATATACATTTTCACGTTATTCTGATTATTAATTCTGAGGACAAACTTGAGCTTTTGCGGCATGACTTTCACATTTGTCCTCCCAAATTGATTACTCTGGCAGGAAACCAACACCCTCAAGCCATCAAAGTCACAAAAGGCTGTGTATTTCAACACTGCAAAAACTCACAGCAGGCATCTACAGAAGAGAATGATACTATTGGGCACCTTTGCGAGAGCAAATACGAGGAGCCGCATGTGTATGTTTTCTCAGCTGAAGTCATATTCGGGAGTACATCTCAACCTCTGACATGCAATCCGTTATCACAGCACTGCTCAAGTGACATTCATTGCCTCTCTCCATTGGGCAGTTACGCTTGGATCGACAGCTATCCAGTCTTTTAATCAGCGACTTTTTCCATTGAGATTCTAACTGCATATACGTGTACATTGTGGAATCCAACTTCTTGAACAACCAAAACAACAAAATTAAAGCTTACTTAAGTTTGGATTGCGAACACACATTTGAAATTACTAAGCATAAATAGCACTATATAGATCACTTATCATTTTAGAAACAGTGCTGAAAAGTCTATTGCTTTATATTTGTTTTGCTTGTATAAGTATATCTGTAACTTCTGTGAAAGGTTTGAAAAAAGATTGTCTACAAAAAATATGCTTCATGGTGATGACACTGACTGCTGGTCAGGACTTCGTTCTGACCAACTTAATGAACCAAAGCAACTGTTAGAAGGACTTAAAAAGATCACGCCAAATTCCCTGTCCCCTGAGGAGATCAGGTCAACACTCACTAAACTCATAACTCAGTCTAAAATGAGTGATCATGGGGCTGGCAAGAGGACAAATCATCCACCCAGAGCTAGTCAAGTTCGCGTTGATGGCTCAAATGTCAGCATTGTTGGGTCCCACAACGTGGTCACCTTGGTCGATGGCACGCCGGTGACCCCAGAAAAGCCCAACTTCACCGACCTTGGCATGGACAAGGAGGTCAACCGGCTGGCAACTTTCAAGCTGTGGCCACACAGTGCACCTTGTCAGCCAATGCGCTCGCCCGTGCCGGGTTTTTCTTCACAGGCATTGAGGACCGAGTGCAGTGTTTTGCCTGTTTGGGACTAATAAAGGATTGGGAACATGGCGACACCGCAATGGGAGAACATAAGAAACACTTCCCAAGGTGCCCCTTTGTACGTGACCACAATTACAGGAATGTTCCTCTTGTGGAAAAATCCAAATCTGGAGCCAGTGGCAGCACCTCTGAAGAAAAACGGGCAGAAGAGAAGGCAGCAGGGCTCTTCAAAGCCTCTCGAAATGAGACCAAGAAATCGTCACAAGGGGGGAAGAAAGGGGCTGGAAAACAAACCAAGGCCGGCGGCTTTGATGAGAGCCAGAAGACCTGTGAAGGGAATCCGACCCGGCAACCAACCATCGACTCTGCTGAGTCCGAGATGCGGCTGACCTTCCGGAGCGAGTACAAGCGCCTCCTGTCGTTTCAGACCTGGCCGCGGACGCACCCCATCGAGCCCCGGGACCTGGCCAAGGCCGGCTTCTACTTCCTGGAGAAGGACGACCTGGTGCAGTGCTTTGCCTGCTTTGGCAAAATCCGTGACTGGGAACCCCAGGACAACCCTGAGCGGGAGCACGCCCGGCACTTTCCCAGCTGCCCGTTTGTCATGGGGCTGGAGGTGAAAAATGAGCCCATCACGCCGCTCCAAGCCTCCAATGTAGTGAGCATGCTCTACCGGGAGCCATCCGGGTTTGCCGCCACTCTGGAACAGTTCTCCAAACAGCTGGAAGCAGCCCTCCCTCAGACCGCCAAAGTCGTGAGCCAGTGGGACCAGACGCCGATCCCAAACCGAGTCCTGGACAAGCCCAAGTACCCAGACTTTGTTGGAGAGAATGCCAGGTTGGCCACCTATGCTAAAGGATGGCCTGGAGTCCTTGGTATCACACCACAGCAGCTGGCACGAGCTGGCTTCTTCTTCACAGGTGAGAGAAGAATGATTGTTTTTATTATAAAATTTGAAATGTATCTTATTCTAAATACAATACGAAGTAGTACACTAGTCTTTGGAACAAGGCACATGTCTAGTCAAGCTGATGCCAAATTCATGTACTAGCCCATATTAGTGAACCACACATGACCGTGTTTCAGCCAACCATGATAAAGAACCAGGAAGTGGTGTGTTATAATGACTTGTGTTTTAGCACTATCAATCTTGTCAGTTTAATGTTGTAATACTGACCTTTGCACTGGTAATGGTGACGTCGTTGTGGAAAACTCCAGTAGCTATTAGTAATTCTAGTACCTGTAGT